ACCCTCTACCGTTGATCTATGAAACACTACGGAATATTGGACGAGCTAAATGGTACATAAAGCTCGATGTTATCGCGGCATTCTACCAGATTCGCATTGCAGAAGGAGACGAATGGAAGACGGCATTCCGTACGAGATACGGACTGTACGAATGGCTTATCACCCCTTTTGGATTGGCGAACGCGCCCAGTACGTTCCAGAAATACATCAATTGGACCTTACGCGACTACCTCGACGTCTTCTACTCGGCCTATATTGACGACATCCTAATCTATTCGTATGGGTCATTAGAAGAGCACTGGAGTCATATCCGGAAGGTCCTTAAACGCCTACGTGAGGTAGGACTACGGATCGATATCGATAAGTGCGAATTCGAGGTCAAGTCGACGAAATACCTAGGGTTCATTGTCGAAGCAGAGAAAGGCGTACGAATGGATCCGGAGAAGGTGAAGGCGATCCTCGACTAGGAAGCCCCTAAATCGGTGAAGGGGGTATAAAGCTTTATTGGATTTGCGAACTTCTATAGGAAGTTCATACGAGACTTCTCCGAGATCATACTTCCTATTATGACTCTCGTACGGAAGGATACGACGTTTCGATGGATAACGGAGGTGGACCAAGCCTTTGTACGGCTAAAAAGGATGTTTACGACGGCCTTAATATTGATCCTATTCGACTACGAGAGAGAGACTATTATAGAAGTCGACGCGTCGAAATAGTGTGTTAGGGGGACGCTCTTCCAAGTTGACGACGAGGGAGTTATACGCCCCTATGCCTTCTTCTCGAAGAAGAATTACCCGGCCGAATGTAACTACGAGATCCACAATAAGGAAATGCTCGCTATCATACGATACCTAGAGGAATGGGATACCGAACTACGGAGCGTTGAGAAATTCGAGATTCGGTCCGACCATAAGAACCTCGAATACTTTATGTCCGTACGAAAACTCACTAAGAGACAAATGCGTTAGTCCCTTATCCTATCGAGGTATAACTTTACGATCTCGTACGTCCCCGGAAGGCAAAATATTTGAGCGGACGCCCTCTCCCGGAGGGAGTAGGATGTACCTCAGGACTAAGAGGACGAAAGACTTTGGTATTGTATAGTGCGCCTTATTAAGCTGGAGATACTAGACGGAACGGGATCTAAGGCGCTATAAGTGAATACGACATTGACGGAAGGACCGTCGATTGAAGAACAATGGAGATCGGCTCAACAGAACGACTAGACATATCGGGAGGCTATTAAGTCTATATAAAGAGGGGCCCGTACGTTCCCCTCTAGTCTAGGTCTGAAAGTATCAATTGCAGAATGTACCCTTAACGAGGAAGGGCAACTACTATTTCGGGGACGGCGCTAGGTGCCGGAATCGGAGGCTCTCCGTACGGCAATTATTTAATAGGTACACGACTCGAAGGTTACCGGTCACCCAGGTCGAGAAGGGACGGCGGCCTTAATGGTAAGGCAGTTCTTCTGGCCAAATATACTATAAGATATTCGAAGGTTTATATGGAACTACGACGTCTATGGACGGATGAAGGCCTAGAAGGAACGGAAATAGGGGTTCCTAAAGCCTCTCCCGATCCCTAATCGACTATAGAAGGAAGTATCAGTCGATTTCATTACGGAACTCCTAGAAAGTCAGGGCTATACGAACCTAATGGTCATCATAGATCGACTAGGGAAAGGAGTCTTACTCGAACCGTTACGTACGATTGAGTCAAAAGACGTAGTAGGAGTCTTCCTACGGACGTTCTATCGGCAACATAGACTACTATCGGTAATTATGTCAGATCGCGGCCCCCAATTCGTGAGTATACTATGGAAAAGGATCTATCAACTCTTAGGTATTGTATAGCGACTATCTACAGCTTACCACCTGGAGACAGACGGATCTACTGAGCGAATGAACTAAACGGTCGAAACGTACCTTCGTACGTTTATGAATGGAAAACAGGACGACTAGGTAGAACTCCTACCTATGGCAGAACTGGTAATTAACAATCGCGACGCACACTCTATAGGAGTGAGCCCGTTCTTCCTACTGCATGGGTATCACGTCGAGCTACTTCAGATGCAAGAACCCCCCCGTATGGCGGAGACTCCTCGAGGACCTATACAATAAGTAGACTTTATCGTGCGGCGACTCTGAGAGGCGAGAGAATGGGCGTAGTCTTCAATAGCTATCGCGCAGTAGGAGTAGGAGGAGAGAACGAATCGAACGCGACAATAGGCACCGCAATTCCAAGTTAGCGACAAGGTATGGCTTAACTTAAGAAACGTATGAACGACGCGTACTAGTAAGAAACTGGACTAGAAGAATGCGAAGTATACCGTTACGGAGGTGGTAGGATCTCACAGCTACCGCCTGAACACCCCGCCAGGCATTCATAATGTCTTCCACTCAGACCTCCTTCGTACGGCCTTAACAGACCCTCTCGACTCGCAGAGAACGGACGATAACTAGCCTGCGCCGGTGATAGTCGGAGACGATGAAGAATACGAGGTGGAGGCGATCCTGGAAGATAGGGTCGTACGAAGAGGAAGAGGATCCCAGAAGTAATACCTGGTGAAATGGACTGGATACGCTGAACCAACGTGGGAACCGGCCGACGCGCTATAAGACTCCGCCGCGCTGAACACGTACGAGGCTTCCCAGGTAAGTATAGAAGGAGGGGGGGGTGATGTGATGGGTTAAACCCAGGAGAAGGCTCGGTTCTGGCGAACCAGCGCCAAGACCAACGCCAGGAAATACTGCCTCCTGATTAGTCAAGATTTACCTATACAATGTACAGGCGAAATGCTGCCTCCTGATTGGTCAAGACGCACACGGTGTAAGGGATACAAAGTCCTGACAGCTGAGACACCGTACGTAAGGGAAGGTAAGGAGTTGGAATAAGTACGCAAGGGAAGGTAAGGAGCTGGAACACGTACGCAAGGAAAGGAGTAAGGAGGTGAGGACAATAGTTACCTCCTTGCGGCGCGTTGGAGGATATAAGGAGAAAGGAAGGATAGCCATTCCTTCCTTCTCTCTCCTCAGATTTATCCTCCTTATTACTAGGTTGGCTAGCTAGTTACAGAACTCTTTCCAAACCCTCACAGAACCTAATACTTAGGAACTAAGGGAAAACGTACCTAAGATACTCATTATTAAATACTACTAGTACTACATTAGATTATCTAGAATCGAGCTTAGGGACTAGAATAAAGAATAATAGTACTAAAGAATCATTAACTAGATAATATAGAGAGCTATTCTATATTCCTAAACTCGGGAAAAGGGAGAGACGGATCAGAAAAAATGACCGCGTTAAAAGCTAGATCATCCTAAATAAAGGGATCCGCGTCTATTACCGCTATATCCGCACCATCACTATTATTAAGTAAACCTAGGGCTGCCGCCTCACAATCCGCTATGTCCTCCTAACGCTTCGTCAGGATATCTACTCTTTTATTCATATCAGTAATACGCTACTAAGTTTCTAATAATTACTTAGCTAAGGCTAACATTAAATTTTAGGCCTCCTAGCCTTACTGAATTAACTCCTACTTCTTATTTTCGAGTCGATCAAACTTAGCCTTAGAAAAGTGACTATAATAGGTTATATTCTTTTTAGTATAGGGACCGCACTTTAAATAACTACGATAAATAATGTAGATAGAGTGCGATTTAGTACACTCTAGGTAGGGATTAGGAGCGTAAGAGCCGAGCTTTATGATGGCGTTACCTAAGTTACGGTATCGTTAGGATTAAGGGGGTTTCGGAACCTTTAGTATAATTAGCTATAGGGAAGAAGTAAAAGGTGGAAGGGAAGGGATACGCTTACCTTAAGTACGTTAAGGGTAACGTATACGTTAAAGGAGGGGGAGGTGTTACGAACCGACTATATAGGAGGCCGAGGAGAAGGATAAGGGGGAAGGTCGACTAAGGAGAATATGTCAGACGCTAGTATCTTAGTAAATATATTAGTATAACCTAGCGGGGTAATAGAGTAATATACCTAGATAGGCTTAGAAATATATTAATATATTTGACATGTCTAATAGAGTAATATATTAAACATATATCCTAAGTGATATATGACCGCACTTAGTTACATAGTTCTCCTCGTAGTTAATAATAGTTATATAGAATCGAGTTCCTCACGATCATCTACTATACGTATAGGTCTGCATACTATACACTTAGTTTCCAGTCTTAGCTATAGCGTCCCTCCCTACTATATCACTAAGTAAACCACTGCGGGTTTGCCTGTGGACACCTCACGTGTCATATAGTAGCTCGTAACATACTATTACACACGCGAAAAGGTCGTAGATAGAACAGTGGTGTTCTCGTTCGTACTAACAACGGAGATGGCTATAGATAGGCTAACTAAGCCATTGAATCCTATTATGTTTGATAAGTTTAGGTAGATGATTAGGATAATGACTCTAGAACGAGTAACGAACGCGAACTGACGAGGATAGAAGCGATAACGAGGTTACGAGCGAATCACGAACGAGATCGATCGATAGCGACGTTAATAGGGCGATCGACGAATAGATCGATTAACAGAACGATCGATTTACAGCATCAAAAGGTGAATAGTTAACGGGCACTGTTATGGTTACAGTAGGCCAAATCACAGCGCGAAGTGTCATTAAGTTACCAGGGTTAGACGGGCCAATCAGATCGCGTAGATCAGGACAGGCTAGGACGCTTTGTAAAACAGGCGTTCCTGCGACCTAGTTATCAGGTAAAAGTTCAGTGTTTTACGTGGTTTACTCATGTTTTCGCCTAGTAAATTTGGCTGTGAACGCCATCGAGCGACACACGCCACTACAGGCTAAACATCGATGCCACAGCGGATTTTTTCATTTTACGGCAGATTTCGTGCCTTGTGTGGGGGGGTATTGCCCTAACCTGATTAGGAAGGTTATCCGGCTAGTTTTTACACGCCGGCAAGTCAAACTGCCGTGCGACCGTTCCCACTAGATAGAACAATTAATCAATTCATCAAGTTAGTTCTACACTTGTGAGGGTCGCAGTCAAAAGCTCGTCTTCAGGGTAATGATCCCGGTTGAGATGGTGTCCTTGTGTCGTGTTGAGGTCACAACTTGACTGATTCAGATTTCTCAAGTGCGCGAGCTCCGGGATTGTTCTTTGCGGCTCACAGGCGCTCACGGTTTTGCGATGGCCTGGCGCAAACCTCCTCCTGGCCTTTTGGCCGTTAGACACTTGATTCGGTCGCTGGATCTGGGCATTTGCACTCTTTTCCGACAGCGGCGCCCGCGGTTCTCTGGTCTGCACGTCACCTGGAGAACTAGTGGGGTGGTTCTGAACAGTATCTGGACACATGGGTGTCCCCTCTGTCCTCTCCGCTTGCGCGTAATGCGCGGGCAGGGAAGGAACAGCAGGCACGGCGGAAGGTTCCCGATAGACAGTACTTGGTCTCTCCCTCATCATTGGAGTCGATCTGGATGACCGCACCGTGGTGGGTCTCTCGGATTTCTTCCGAATTTCGCACTGGACATTCACGATAGTGGGTTCGTAGATTGTACTCTGGGATTCGAACTCGTGCACGGTGATTGTCGACTTGCTCGACCTGGTCCAGGTGGGATGCGGCACGGACGGCTCGGTCGCAGGGATGGGAGGTCTCGAACTTTCAACCGTGGAGTCGAATGTCTGTGCCTCAGTAGAGACCCTGGATATAGAGCTTCGGCTGATTGACCAACTGGAGCAAATTCGTCTTATGCGGCTCCCAATACCAGCATTGGGCTGCCGCAGGGGTTCAGTGATTTCTTGAGGTGAAGGATCTGACCGTCGTCTCACGGATTCGACTCGTCCGCGTCTGCACGACCTGCACTGTTGATCAGGAGCTTCGTTGTGCGGCCTGGACAACATCAGTATCCGGAAGTTCCAGACCTCACGAGCACTGACATTCGGAGTCCCTCGAGCATCAGACGGAGGACCTCAAATTGCTCTCTCAAACGCTGCTGATGGAAATCCAGCTCGGCCCTGCTCAAGGCGGCCTTTATTATCTTCTTCTTGTTCTTTTGGTCAAGAACATTCAAGTCGTTGCCAATGCCATATCCCTGCAATCTTCCCAACTGCTCCTCAAAGAGCTGCTGGCAACCACGAAGAGTCCCCTGCAGATCCTCGCATATGTTGTCCTGCCTTTGGGCATCCTGTTCTGTGCGCTCGCGGAGAATGCGTTCAATGTGAGACAAGGTTACCCTGATGACGCCACATTGATTGTCAATGCTTCGAAGCTCGAGAGGAATGTTCCGGATGGAGGAGGTGATGTTGTACAGATTAAGTACCACGGTGTGCACAGCGACGACTGCAGCCTGGCCAGAGCTTTAGTTCAAGGACGCGGTGGGTTTCTGAGAGCATTTTACCACGACTCCGCTGATCGGTTCCATCTGATGCACGGCGCCAGGCGACAAGGATGACGGCGGCGCAGGCCAATGTGTACCGCCGCGCAGTGATTGACATTAGGACAACAGAACGTTCTCGTCAGCAGACGGCAGCTCTACAAAAGATTCATATTCAACGGTGCACAGCGCGTGTTAACGCCGTAAACAAACATGTTGGCAGCCTCAAGCAACCCATTCCATGTCGAATCGCCCCTTTTGTTGAGGCTTGCTGCGCCCTCCAAGACCGTCTACAGCATGCTAGTGGGCACCTTTGCCGGGTGGCGCAGGCGCAGCTTCTTGAGGATGGACTCAGTCTCGGTGGTAAAACACGAGGAAGTTTGTCAAGAGTCGAGCACCTCACAGCCTTGCACGAAAGTGCGACGATCTCTGGAAGTGCCTATGTAGATGTATCGATAAGAGGGATACGCTGCAGAAGCAGGCCACGCTGCACCAATCATTGAACTAACTGATCGGATAAGTTGACCCCGTCACGACTCCTTTCCACTGCTCTGAGAAGCCGAATCTCGCGGCACAGCTCAAGGCTACGGTCCTCCGGGTTGCCGTAGCTGTTCTTCACTCAAGTCCTCGGTGGTTCTCCCCGACACAAGTGTATAGGCGACTCCGCCGAACGACAACGGTGCACCGCTTCCCACGCTTGAGTAGATGGCTCTGTCATGTTCATGCCCTTGACCACTACCAACGAAGAGCTGTACAACATCCGTTTGGCTAAACATTTCTGCATCGCTGCATGGCATTAGCCTTTAGGCAGCAACGCATCCCAGCCGTGCAAAGGTGCAAAGTTGCTCCGTGTCTGTCCAATCACGATTTCCTATCTCGGGCAGAAAGAAGCACTATCCAGCTCGAGGCGGGGTTTAGTCATGTGCTTTCGCGTGATGGCGGCGACATAAGCGAATGGATTGGACGCGTCCGAAGCCACGCCTGCAGCCCGTACTCGTGTTCGCAGGAAAGTGAATTCCTGACGGTCAAAGCATCGCCGATTCTTGCACTGCTAAGCGATTTCCAAGATGGCACGGTGCCGTCTAGAAGTGCATTTAAAGAGAGTGAGAACCCGGGATGAACAATGCGTCCTCAATATCCACTTCCCCACCTTCACTACGAGAAAGATATTCGTTTCAAGACTCGCTGATACCCCAAGCACTCAAAAGCGCCACAGCTTGCCACTGACAACTCGACATCATGTCTTCTGAAGCTCAAGCCTGGGTCCCGCCCGCTGAAGGCTCCCCGTGCTGGGTTGAAATTCCTGCCCGCGACACTGAAAAGCTCAAGGTAGGTCAACCGAAAGATTACTGCAGGAATTCCTCTTCTATCTCCGAGTCTGGCTGATATTGGTGTTGAAAGGCCTTCTATAGTGACCTCTTCCCTACTTGGACCTGGAAATCTGATATCTCCGACGCTGGGCATCAGGTCTCCTTGTTCGAATTCAAAGATCCCAAGGGTAAGAGAGAACCCTGCCTCCTCCCACAAATCGAGTCATGACTTACCAGACCGGCGGTTCCAGGGCTGGGAGGCGGGCTTGTCAAAATGCCTGACGGCTGTGGCCCGAACACGCAAGCTCTCGGCTCAGGCGTGACGATCTACCACATGGTCGATTCGCTTGAAAAGGTGTGCTTCCCCAATTGCCTGATTGTTGAGAAGCAGCGTCGAGAAGTCTCTGACTGGGATCCCCGCCTAGACTGAAGCTCGCGTCCATGAACTGGGAGGTAAGACAGTCTTGCAAAAGACCGCCCAAGGGGATAGCGGCGTCTACATCAATGTGACAGACCCAGAGGGAAATAGATTTGGCATCTACCAGTTGGTGCAAAAGTGTGGCTCTTAGGCTTGTCAATTTCGACAGATGATGATCGTTCAATCACTCCAATCCATAGCTCTGGAGGAGTTTCGATCCAAGTACTCGGTACTCCGTAGTCCAATGCAGAACCTGAATAGTCGAGCTGTTGACGCTGCTTTAACGACGTAAGGCGGCGTCACCAGACTTCCATTTACGGCTGTGCTGCCGGCCTTCACCAGGTCTTGGCGCCTTCACTTGGCCATCATCCCGCACTTCACGTGGGAAGCTGCCTTGCTCTATTCGCACATGTTCACTTGCTCTTCTCAAACCCCTTGTTTGTCCCGGCTATCACTCCTATTGTTCGAACAAGCTGACACATGACTGTCTCAGCCTTCTCCTGTTCACCATGAATGCGACTTGATCTTCTCCGACCACACCGGTCGTTTGTGTTAGTGCAAGAAGGAGGGAGGGGTAACCTCTGCCAGAGAAGCCACATTGACACACATCTCGCCACCATTTGTACTGAGACTGGGGCTCTTCTGACAGGAGGTACCTCAAGACGCACTTGCAACCATGTCCATCAAGTATGCACCCTCTCGCTTCGGCATTCATCAAGCATAAGCTCATGATGTCATCTGCAGTTGGGTTATGCTAGACGGCAAAGGAGGCTTTGTCCCGTTGCCATCAGAAAGGATCATCCACAAGTCATCACCACGAATTAGTCTCGCCATCACTACGCCTTCAACATATCCGGGGAACAATCCGTTGGCGATCAACTGCAGCTCTGGCATCGTCTATCTGACCAATCAAAGAGTAAGAAAACAGATGGGAAGAATCGTCTTCTGAGCTAGTCGTTTCTGACGCCGTGCGAAGATAGTGTATCTGCCCGAGAAATCCGCCTCGGAATTCAAATCCTTCTCTGCGCCACTTCTCAATCTGCATGACACACATCTTACCGTTCCCTGGTTTGGTCCCAATGCATGGCAGGCGATCTTACAGCCTGTTCCTGGGGGCAACATCCCGGCGACCCACGCGGCTGTTGAGCTCAAGTTGACCTTCAAAGAAGGCGGAGCTCCTGATTTCCATTCGACTTTTGAACAGATCAAAGAAAGACTCCAGCAAGTCGTGTCCGCAGCGAGGGAGAGCAACGTGACTGGCTCGCGGCAAGATGGCTTCTTGGGCAATGTGAACCTGGACAATGTCCATCTTGATCAGTTGCCTTCATATAACGAGTCTGGGCATGACCCCATAGCTCCGATCCAATCCACCACCACCAGTGAGGATGCAGATCCTCCTATTCTGGTCAGTCCTCGTGCGGCTCCTGCATTGAGGCGAGCTGGAACACCTCAAGAGGAAACCCAGGCACCGAGCGATGCGCCGCCGGGGTACGAAGAGACACAGCAGCAGAGCATCCAGGCTGAGCTAGATCGGAGGTTGTCGGACACTCGCGGCTGAACGGCAATGAAGGAGATCTCGCGAGCCAGCGGCCACTTTTCTGTTATTGTGCATGTACGAGGTAGAGATGGGCGTTCTCCCTAGAAGGAAAAGGTACCTTTACCGAGAGACCCGAGGCCAACCTCATTCAAATTTTCGGACGCTTCTTTTCCTTAGCTGCCAACGTCATGATACAAATTCAGCTTTGAAGGGAGGTTTCAGTGATGGGTGTCCTGCTTGAATTGGGGAGTCCGTAGAAAAAGACTGTCTTGGCGGCCAGTAGCTAGCTGGCCAATCAGCAGCCTTGTAATTTTCCGCCGAAGCTCAAGCTAGCTCAGGAACATTGAACTTGCAACTCTTTCCACAACGTTGAAGGTCTTCGAAACTCTACGAGACAGCAACGACATCCTCCAGTCTCTAGAGTGGACTTGCACCCATCTAGGACTCCCTCTTACTAGCCAGCCGATCTATTCTATCTCACCCTCAGCTTCATTCCGAGACGTCACGATGGGGATCACCGATTTCTTCTCAGACCTTCTGAGCTCCGTCTCCTTCGTGCAGGAAGTTCAAGCCGAAGCTCCCGCTGACGACAACGAAGAGTCAAGTGACAGCAGCGAGGGAAGCAACGACGAAGAAGGTAGTGAGGATACAAAGGAAGGTGAAGAAGAAGGCGAAGACGGAGGCGAAGATGGAGGAGAAGAGGAGGAAGAAGAAGAGGAAGAGGAGGAAGAGGAACCCGTGGATCCTAAACCAAGGCTGGAAGAAGGTATGCCTTCGCTTGCTATTACACTTTTAAGAGCAGAGCTACTTCGCTATGTTCTGCGCAAGAAAAGCAGCAAAGATTAACAAACAAGCAGAATGTGCCCGATCCGCCCAATGCTCAGGATACAAGCATCACTTCGACGAATGCGTTGAACGTGTTACGCAACAGGAGGAGGATCCCGACCACAAGGGACCCAAGGAAAATTGTGTTGAAGAGTGTACGTATTGTTATGCCAGATCTCTACCCGTCTCTTCCGGACTTGTAAAGTCATCGCGACAGGACACAGCAGCTGACCACCACGGGAACAGTCTTCCACCTTCAACACTGCGCAACACAGTGCGCCGCGCCGAAGCTCTTCAAGCAGCTGAAATAGACCTCCTTCACGCTGCCGGCCGCGGAGATCGACCTAAAATGCACCCGACAAAGAGGAGTTGAGGGCAAGAGACGATAGCTCGCAAGCAAACTCACAGAACAAGGCCTCAAGTGGATAGAAAATTCTGCTGAAAGAGGAGGGTTAGATGCAGATGTCCCTGCTCACACGCATGCAACCCTCGGGACCTTCCAGTGTCGAAGTTCTGGTCGCCCAGTGCATCAACCTGTGCTCATACATAGTCATCACGCCTTGTATATACCTATTACTGCATCAAAGACCGAACACCCCATCCTCGTCTCAGTTTCGCAGGGTAATCCCCTTCTGCTCCTCTCTATGCCTCTCATTCTTCCGTCATCTTCCTGAGGCGTTTTCAGTACAGATGCAGGGTCCTGACGCCCAGTAGCGACTTCAGCTATCTTGGGCTTGGTTCGGTTCTTCCCCCAAGTAGCTCGCTCGTACTGTGCTATCCGAGCCGCATGTCTGGCGTGCACCGAGTATTAGTTGACGAGGCGAGCATGGCTGGCTGAACGGCGCCTCAGTTCTCAAGCCGGCGCCCAACCAATCCGGTCCGCCAGCTGCGCCCCCCGACTCCAGTCTTTTGTGGTGGACTCTTTTGCCAACCTCGAACGCTTTCCTAATTCGGAACGATTTGCTTGATCTCCTGCCAGCCAGCAAACCCTGATGTAGATGCTGGGTTGCCAGATGCTCTTGAAGGACCAATTACACGGAGCAGTGCTCGCTTAAACCCCGTCACACACTACATAGGAGAAGGTTTCTTAAGGAGCCCGCTTCCCTCTCGAGGCCAGTAGCTTCCAACGCAGTCTTCATAATATATCTCTTTCCTAGTATTCACTATCCAGCTGTCGTTCATTGCAAATCAGCCCTTCAGGAACGGACATCAATTGTCCATCTTTCCCGTTGTTTTTCTTGTATATTTCTCTTGATGTATACTTCCCGAACTCTCGTCTCAGATATCGGCGCTTCTCACACGGATCTGGGGTCCTGCCCCTGCAACGCCTGCTCATCATCCTCAATTCTGTCGACGTAGCCCTGCACGACCTCTTCTGGCGTACTGCGATCTGCCTCCCACCTCTTCCGTCTCACACGGCCCTGACGGCCGAACAACCCAAGACACAATGGAGCCGGCATCACCAAGACCGCCAACACCGCTTGGAAGATCAAAGCCCGTTTCATGTTCCTTGGTGGATCGGCATTCGGGCCATCCTTCAATGCGTTCATGATGACAATGAAGATTCCTCCCAGAAGCTGCCCGCCGCACCAGCAGAGACTGCTCCCCAACTCGGGGCCCACGGGATAATGGATCTCGACGAGGAACTCCAACGCCACGGGGACGAGGCCGAAGCTTGCGGCTCCGAGAAGGGCACAGACGACGAAGACGTACGCCAACGAACGGGACTGTGGCGCCCAGATGAGGATCACATAGCAGACCGCCAGCACCGGGATGGCGACCTTGACGTAGGCAAGATAAAACTTGTACTTGTCGATGATGGGGCTCGAGATGGCCGCGCAGACGAGTCCGACCACGATCAAGATCGCCCCCGCGATGCCCGCGTTGTCTTCGCTGAAGCCGTACGGCTCGAGGATCTGATTGAGCAGAGACGAAAAGCCGTTGAAGAATCCCACGTAGAAGATGAAGGGGAGGAAGAGCAGGTAGAACTCGGGCGAACGGGATAGGATGTGGAAATCCTCGCGCAAAGATGTGCGGTCGATGTGGTCCGCCCCAGAACCCGCCGAGGGCGGAGAGGGTGGTCTTGACGGGATGAAGAATGCCGGCACTGCCGCGACCGAGGAGATGATGGAGATATACAGGATCATGTTGGGGATCTCGTTTGGTTGGTCTGCCCAGAAAGGTGAGATGAGCTGGCCCAGCGCCGCACCAAAGGGGTTCGACAACGATGCCAACGCCGTGGCGGTGGTGCGGCCGCTGGGGCTGAACCAGAGGTTGGAATAGCTGGTGGGAGAAGACAGTACAAATGGTTGCGCAAAGCCAATGATCAGCTGTCCGACCATAACGCCGCCGAAGTTGTTTGCCCGGGTCGCGCCATATTTGACCCAGTTGCCAACCAGCACCAAGGAGGCGGCAATGATGATCGCGGTCTTCGTGCCATACCTGTGCAGGACGTAGAAGGTAGGTGGCGTGGTGACGCAGTACGCGAAGAGAAACGCAGTCGAGACCCAGTTGATGTTTGTCTCCGAGGTGTCGAAGTACTTGGCCGAAGTCTTTGAGACCGGGGCAAAGGCGATCCAGTCCCAGGAGACCACAATGTTCAGCAGGACTAGCTGGGCCAGGCCGAAGAAGCGTCGCTTATACACTTTGTATTCGACGGTTGAGGTTGTCGAGATCCGCGATAACGTCCGGTGGGATGGCTCGAGGGTTCGACGGCGGTCTTCCATCGAAGCGACTGGAGAGTCGAAATACGAGCTGCCCTCGCCGCTGGCTGCCTCTCGATGGGAGATGGTGGACTGCTCGACTTTGCCCATATTGACCTCTCAAATGTTCCACAATGCTGAACTGGTGGTTGCGACAAGCGGTATCCGAAGGGTCACGCGCCAGACTTTGCCGATAGGAGAAAGCCCCTGGAGGCTGTCGACAGAGCAATTGTGGAAGGTCAAAGGCGGGTGAACAGCCCTCATGCACAGTCGCAGCCTTCAATTATCAACATTCCCAGACAGCGACGACACATCTGACGGGCGTGGACTGTTATCATAGGGGAGACCGTGGAAGGTCGTTCGTTTGCTTACCGTGCATCGACCATTGCGTTGCAGATCGGACGTCCAAAGCAATTTGGGGATGCAACCTTGCCAAAGAAGGACCAGCGTCGGGGCCGTGCCGGATTATTGCCGGGCCGCACATTCAAGCATTGAGCGTGGGAGGTTGATTTGGACGAGGCTGACACGGCGAGGCTGGCTTGACGCAACGCATTTGCGGTGTCGTTCGTGCGGAATGCACGGGCAGAGACATGTATCCGCGCGAGAAGATGTGTGACACTATGGTCGTCTGCAAATTTCGAGTCTGAGAGATTGATGCAGTGCGGACGCATAATGCCTCGAACGCTGCCCTAGCAAGGATCCCGTAAGGCTGCAGATTACCACCTCTCTCTATCGAGTCTGGAGGCTGTTCGCAGACCAGGGCATGCAATACGAAGTACGGTGGAAGGATCTTAAGCACGCAAGTATGTGTTTGCTCGAGGAATGACCGCTTACTGGCGAACACGTCTGCCGGATCTACTCCAGGGTGTCCATCTCAAGTGGTTAACCTTCCCTAGGAGCATGCAAAAAGGGATGCACGAGTTCTCTGGAGACACCGTTCATTGTGAAAAGGGGAAGAATATCAATCTTGACGTGCCGTTCAGCGAGGAACAGAGACTCCCTGCTCCGTCCGTGAAGAAGCTGCCCTGAGGGCCGTGGGTACGCAATAATTGGCTTCGCTAGTTGCTTTTGGCGCCCTTAATTCACCGGGGCTCGTCCCTAACGTGCTCGCATTTATACGGGTATGGAGCCCCTAGAGCCCCAAGCAAACATTCCAAAGCACCCGCCAAGATCAACACACAAGCGGTCCTAATAGGCCAGGGTTGGCCCCCCGTGGCCCCGGTGGTCCCTCCAATACCAGCCGAGGCTGCCCAGCCCCAGCCTCATTGGCCTTACAGGAATGCAGGCGACCTTCTTACGTGTTGCCTTGCCCTCGCTGAGCGCCCATCTACCGGGACTCCCTGCCTAGTAACTGGGTCGCTACCCGCCTCACCAGACCTAATAGAGCCTCGAGGCCCTAGGCGATTTCCTGGACTTATGCGCCTCTTTTGATCCATTTCAGCTCAAGCCTCCAGCGGAGGTTATACCCCTGCTCCCCTGACTTCTGGCTCTCCCTGAGAAGACGACGAAAGTTCTGAGCGCGTGTTCTGTCCCGGCTGTGCAGAGCCTTTCTCCACGTTGGTCAAGCCGCCTGCCTCAGGACGTTTGCTGTTCTTGCCCTCGTTCTCCTCCCAGCTCCTCTTCCGGCCACACGCACCGACGATCCTTCGGCACCGCGTATAGTTAAACAACATGCTCAGCTATAAGCAGCGTTTCTCAGCGATATCTACCACTTCTCTCCCCTAGCATTGGTCCGTTTGGAAGGTATTTGGATATCTACGAAGAGGAGGGAGACTGGGACTAGGCCCAATAGAAAACCGGGACAATGCAGGCTATCAAGTACGGCCTGAGGGAATCCTCAGTCGACAGCGTCAACGATGGCCGTAGCCGCTATGTTCCCAGCTCGGTCTACAGTGGTGCAGGCCCCGTCGACGACTCGCCGGCACTTGCCCAGGGCCACAGTTTTATGTCCGGAGCACTGCGAGGCCCGTTCGAGGAACAGGAGAAACCCCCAGCCCGTTTTACGCAGGTATGTACAGTCGATCTGCTGAGCTGACTCGAGGTGCTGAGACCGGAGCCAGCCATCCCAGAACGCCCCGCGAAACTCAACACTTCTGAACATTAATGACCCCGTGGCGATGCATCTGTTGACCGAGACGGCGATCAGCGACAGCAGAGAATTCGAGGTGCTGTCATTTGAGGAGGTGGAGCAGCTGAAGAAAGAGAGGAGCTTCCTCAGAGGGAAAATTGAAACGACGAGGCGGAAGCTGGCGCTGGAGAGCAAACTGCGAGATGCTGCTCAGTCCCTGAATCGTCTATACTCAACCCGCGAATCCCCAGACGCGGCATCCTCACCAAAGAAATCGCGGCGCAGTTTACTGGGGAGTAGACATGGTGGTGGTAACGAGGTCGTGCATCGGGCAGACGACGAATACGCTGCAAGTATGAAAAAGGTGGAGGAATTCTCGCGCGAGCTGTTCCACCTGGAGAAAAGGCTTCAAGACATAGATCGCCGCATTCTGCAGCACACGGCCGGTATTCTGCAAATGACACACAGAGGCCTGAAGAAGAATATCCGCAGGAATGAACTGCCTCGCAGCCCAGAAAGCATGTCCAGTCAGCTTAACGGGCGAGGTTCTGCATTGGACGCCAGAGACGATTTTGATGAGCGCAGTCTCTACCAGGTCCCGGACTATGTCACCGACTTTGGACAGATTCCCCACGGCATAAACAAGGGCAAAGCTGGATCCCGACCTGTCGACGGTTTTGCGACCCGCCTGCATGAATTGAACCAACGTCTACATCTGATGATCACCCAAGCAAGTCTGCAAGAACATTTTGACCCACCACCCCAGCCTTCTGACGAGCACATGGCTGGAGGTGTTGATGCACAAATCCAAGCATACCTTGGCTACATGTCACAAGGATTGGACGCAATGGAAGCTGCGCAAGCTCGATCCAACGAAGCTGTTCAGCAATCGATCTTTGACACCGAAGAACAGCTTGAAGATGTCAACCTTCGACTACATGATATGTTGGCAAGAACAAACTCTGTCGGGCATAGCCCCGTGTTACCTCAAGATGAACCCCGTGGGAAGGATCTGCAGTCACAATTGGCCTTCTCTTCTTCTGTCATTGAGCGATTGAGCAAACGCGTTGAGACGCTCATCGAACAGAAGGATATCCTGACCCGCCAAATCCAACAGCAACGCGAACTCAACAGCAAGTCCGATGCTCAGCGGGATGCCAAGATCCATGAATTGGTTGCCGATTTAGAGGAGTCAAAGCGCTCTCAAACAGAAAGTGAGCAAGAAGCACAACATTCCCGCGATCAAATCAATTTGCTCATGGAGGAACTGGATCTCGCGAAGCAACAAAGTGTTCTATTGGAACATGAACGAGGCGCAGACGAGAGCAAAGCTCTCGAACTCGAACGAGCTGCCCGCAAAGAGGTGGAAGAAAAGTTTCTGGCCGAACTACAGGCCAAGCAAGAGGAGCATAGCCGACTGCAGTCCGAAATACAGCAGACTCGGAGGGACCTGGAATCGAAGTCCGCGGAAGCAGCAAGCCTAGCGGCAAGTCAGGCTCAGGCTCAGGCGGCACAGGAGGAAGTGGTCAACGATCTCCGCCAGCAGATGGACGCGCTGGGTAGTGCGAAAGCCGAAGCAGAGTCGGCACTCTCGAAACTCCGTGCAGAGATGCAAGAGCTCGAATCTGAAGTGGTGCGAGCGCAGACCGAGTTGACCGTGGTCAAGGCTGAGTTAGATGGTGCTTATGGGACACGTGCTCAGCGAGCGGCCGATGTGTCCATGAATCCTGCCATTCAGAAGGAAATTGACGAGTTGAACATGCGGAACAATGAGCTGGAAAGTCATGTGAGTAACCTGAGAAGGGAACACGAGGCCAAAGACACGTCAAGCGTCGAACTGCAGAACAAGGTCGCCGCTCTGCAGAGGGAGTTGAAAGAGACCATCGAAGAATACGAAGTCATGACGAGGCAGAGCATTGAAGACGAAAAAGAGCGGGAGCGGCTTGAGGAGAAAGTCGACGCGTTGCAGCAGCAATGCGAAGCCCTCGAGTCCCAGCTCAACGAAGAGAAGGTGAAGGGACTAGGGACGAAAGTTTCGTCGCCCACAGACACAACGTCCACAATGGTCTTGAAGAATGAATTCAAGAAGATGATGCGCGAGACCCGGGCAGAGAATCTCAAAGTCCTCAAGGTAAGATAAGCCTGGTTGCCGCGGCGGCAGCGCATGTGGACAGAGGCTAACAGTGGTTTTAGGCTGAGCAAGAAGAAAGACGCCGCTTAGAAGGCATCATCAAGAGCCTGAAGAAAGATCTTCAACAACGGCACTCTCAGAAGGAACCTCCCTCAACACCGATCGAAGCGGCGGACCCTCGCTAATGTTTTTCACGACCGTTATGAGCTATCGACGACCAACGCAGGCACCTGTTGATGGTCAACACTTTTGAAAACCTGGACCCGGTGTCGTCCTGGTCACGGCATTTGCACTTGTACTACGCATATTGGAACTTGGGAATCTGTATCAATAGAAGACACGAGCATTGGGAAGGGGTATGTGATGCATCTCTTCGGCAATATTTTGGACTTGGACAACCAGTGTTTGCGGTATACCTAGACAATAGGGCTTCAGGAAAAAAACTCTACATGGTAATGGATGGTCTGCGTCGCCAGCAACTGCTGTTTCAATCCTCTCCAGCCAGTTCCCTTGCATCGCAACTGCCTGCTTCAGCACCTCTCCTTCCAACATTCTCCTTGAGAACTGACACAACTCGGAAATCATCATCTGTGTTATATCTCTACCTTTCCAGACTGCCAAGGTCATCAGTCGCTTATGGTATACATTCTTTTTGCACACCCTGCCACAACAGATTCATTGACATACACCGCCCTAGGGTCACGGTAACCTTCTCAGATGGACGGTCTACGAGGCCTGCTGCGGTATTGAACCAGCTTTCGAAACGAAGTCATGGTTGGGGTATCTTCCCTGAGTCGCCCTCGAGGCATCTTTCCACCAAAGGCTGCAAAGGCTGTCCGCAGGATACAATCAGTGCCGTCATTGCGACATGAGCTGCCCTCGTCCGAGGAGTCTGTCCCAGAGGATTCGATATATAATGCTGAACCTGTCCGTTCGCGTGAAAATCTACCCTGGACAGCAGCGGTCGACTCGGTTGATGCGCAGGATCTTCCTACACCCTTGGATTTACCTTCCCCTGCGCGTATCCCTCTCAGCAGGCATTCCACATCGCACAGCAATTGGCCGACGCCGCAGCTGAACCCGATCGTTGAGCACAGAACGTCACTCAACTCGGTTCTTCCTGACCGGTCCACTTCGGCTCGCAAGAGCAAGCAGGCTTCTGTCGAGTTATACCGTCGTCGCTCTTTTTCAGTTAACGATCTCGACTGCGTCTTGAGGCAGGACACCATACTATGCAATTCTACAAATTCCACTTCCTCAGAAGAAAGCATACATAGAGCTGGTTGGTGTCCTTCGTTTCCCATCAAACCTCCTGTGTCACCACCAGCCAGGGTTTCGACACCGCCTGGGTTGCCACCATTCGGCACGGAGCAGGCAACATTCCTGCGGCTGGTACAGCAGCGGCCGACAGGCAGACCCTCATTCTGGAATCGCATTTGGAGGCGTACCTCGGATGGTAGCGATGAGCAAGCTCCGACGAGCCTCAACTCTGAAGGTTCTCCACGGATGTCAGCACAGAACCCATCTAGTGGTCCTTCAAATTCAGTCGAGCTCTTCGAACGAACTTTGGCTGCAATCGGCATGGCGACTATCGTCGAGCCTCCCCGCGCGACCTCCTCAGGTTCTCGAGCATCTCTGCCCCGTGGAGTCTACAAGACCAATATCCCTGGACCGCTCGCTCGGGCTGATGATGGTACACTGGTGAGAGGGAGGTTTGGACCACGCGCGAGTGGTCACGGTATCGGTTCCCGTAATCTCGAGTCACATCCTCTGGGTCGTTTGAGGGAGTCGAGCGCAATTCAGCAGGCGATGAGAGAGATCGACAAGGCATGCGAGAGGACCAATGTTGAAAACGCCCTGCTTCAGAGTGGTTCTGGAGTATCGCACACGGTACAAAGGGATGGTTGGGCCAGCGATGAAGCGCCCACTTCGCCCACGCAATTACATCCTAGGAGCGAAACGGAATTTTGTCCCCCCTTCACATCTCCGACTCTCAGAGGCAACTCCCTGTATCAACCTGGGATCGCTCATAATCCCGTGCGCACCGAACCTCCGATGTTTTCTCTGCTCAGCCTCGACAGTGCCACGGGCGGCCCGCGAAGTGCGAGTGTCATCGCGGTCCGTGAGACCGACTGGACGAGCGGCAAGAGGCGGAAGTTCAGGAACGCGTGGAGGCGTATGTGGTACGTGGTCAAAGACTGCTGGACTCGCTTTTGGCGCGCCCTTGGTCTGGACTGATGGGAGGTATTGGTGGCTGCCAGGCGGTGAGGGCACTGCGGCGGAGACGGCATGGATATCTATCAACGTGCATAGGATCGAATAGGAGGAGCATTCGTATACCGAACAGTTTCTCCGTTGTTTGCTGGCTTGTATGCCTTTGATGCGATTTTTTTTTTCTCTGGGAGCCCACCTCCTATGTGCCTCCGCATTGTCTGGTGTAAATCGCTTGAATGCTAGAGAGAAAAAAAGGATCCGACGAAAACATACTCGGTACATAGATGGACACGGGACGACTCGGGACCTTGGTTCGATACCGTGGCTGTGGCTGTAATTGACTGTGACCGCCAACTTGCAAGCACAGGGGGGTGTATACACCAGAGATCTCCCCCTTGTGGTAAAGTAGGGAATGTCGACCACATCCCTCCCTCATGTACCTTTCCCGTCGTCTTCCCCTCGTGGGTCTTATATTTATTTCATCTCCATCAACTCGTCCCTCCCCAGCAGTTTCGCCATGGGGTCGTCGGCGGCCATGCGATTGCGCTTGTACGACTCCAGCTCCTCCTCAGAGATGCCGGACTGCAGTTCTTGCAGGGTGCGCTTTTTGGTGCCGTGCTGCTGCTGCGGTGGCGGCGGCGGCACTGTCCGCTTTGTGCTCTCCGTGGCGGTCGTGTCGGCTTCGTCGAGCTCCTTCTTGCGCTCCTGGATGTCGTCCCCGTCTTGTTCGAGGCGGAGTCTCTGGCTTTCTTCGTCCTGGACGGCGGCCTCTGTTCTGCCTCCCTCGCGCACACTTGTTGTATCGCCGCCGCCGGCCTCGATCTGTAACAGCGACTCGCCCGTCCTCATTCCTTCGCTCGCTTCCCACGCCCGCCGTCCCTCTTCGCCCGTGCAGTAGCTGTTCTTCACCGTGGAGTGGCAGCACGCGTAGCCCCACTTGAAGTCCTTCCACCATGATCCCCACACGGACGTGTGGTTGTTCTGGAAGATGTCTTCGGGGTACTTGGAGCGCGCGACCGTGCGTTCGGCGCCCTTGATGTGTCCCGACTCGTCGTACTCGAGGTACCGCTCGTTGGCGACGATGTTGTGATGTTTGGCTCTTTTGGATGGGTGTTGCTGCTGCTGGTTGTCGCCGTTTTCTGTCAAGAGGTATTCGTCCCCGCCATATTTGTCTAGCAGAGCTTTCCGAGCGGCCGCCTTCTTCTCTGCTGCCTCTTGGGTTTGTTTCTTGCGCAGGATCTCGCCCTCGGTCGGGTTGGCTTGTAAATGTAGTTTCTTCGTCTGGGCCGAGTTCGCGTTGTTCTCCTGCGTCTCCCATGCGTAGCGTTGCGCCCGCTCGAATTCCGAGGCGTCGTCGTTCGAAGCCGCTGGTCGGATGAAACCTTCTTCTGCGTCGGCACCATCTGCCGCCTCGGCGGCGGACTTGTCCATGGAGCGCGTCTTCGGATCGTAGCGGGCGGAATCGAGATCGAGGTTTTTCAGGTAGTTTGCTGTGTCCTCCCGCAGGCGGAGCTGGCGCGTTGAGGTCGGCTGAGACCGGCCCATGTCTGTCTCTTCGCCGTACTGGGTGTCAGAGAGATCTGGGGTAGCGGAGCCGTTGGCGTCTTCCTTCAGTCCTGCAGCTGCGCGCTTGATGGCTTCCAGCTCCTCGTATTCCTTGACCACGGCACTGTACTCTCGACTATCGTACCCGTTCCAGCGGTCTCTTTTGGCGTCCCATCCTAGTTGGACGTCCTCGACAAGCTCGTCTGCTTGAATGTCTTTGCCAGTCCATCTCGCCCCCTGTTTCCTCGGCCGGCTGAGACATTCCTTTGTCTTGTGCGTCATGGCGCCGCAGTTCTCGCATGCGCCTTTGCGGAATTTCGTGGCCGCGGGGCCCTGTTTCTTGCCCCGGTCATACCATTTTGCCTTGTCGAGAGTGTCTTTCGGAGCAGATTGTAACCGCTGATGCTCGAGGTAGTCGGCGTCGGAATGTGTGGTCTCGGCCCAGAACGGACGCTTTGAGATGAAGGAGGGGATATATTCGTTGCGGGTCTGGTCTGGGCCAGGAGGTTTTTTGTTCTGCTGCGCCATCGGAGGTGGGTAAAACCGTGGACGCAGGAGGCGTAGTCGACGTGGAGTGGGAATCGAGTTTATTTGGGATGTGCTTGAAGTCAGTGCAGTGACAAAGTGGAAGCGGGACATGAGGCAAAAAGTCGCCGTGACAAGGCTGCATCACAGCCTCGGCCGAGATGGGTCCTAGTTAGAGGCGAGGCTGGCGAGACTAAGCGTCCATGCGCCTCGACACTGGCCGGTGCAACGCCCACCCTTGCCCCATCACAGTGTCCCTGATTTGCCTTTCACCTAAGGGGTACTGTGTATATTGCGGCCTGGAGCCACAATGGCTCTTTCAAGTTGCCTTATGAGAAGGTGAAAGGTTTCAAAAGCAGCGTCGCTGGATCAATGGGCATTGCATCCACGAAGATTTCACGCCTAGCAAGGCGAGCTTCCCATTTAAAAAGTCGACCGACCGAGTTAATAAAAGGAGAGACCAACCTGCTACAAGGCTTGTGTGAGATATTTGTATCATGCTAACTCTACTACAAAAGGGCAACCAAAGCGTGTTCTCAGCCTGGAACTGAGTAGAGATTCTCAGTTATGGTCATTTCTTTGCGTGAGAGACATGGCCTCCGACCTAGTGGTTCCGGAGGTGAAGCCTCCCCTTGGACGATTCGACAGAGGAAATGAGAGAACGAGATCGTCACTTGACATTTGTATCGCAGGTTCTCTTGGTGAAATATGCGAGTAACGGCTACCCGTTAGAAGAAATGTCACGTGCAAGCGCCACTCCGGGCGCATGTCAATACTGCCAACCCCCGCACCTTTGTAAACATACTTGACTAGGTACACATGTAGATACTTGTTTGCGGCAGGGTTCATTTCCCCCAATACCATACCTGTGAATGAGGGTCATTTTTGGATACGCCCACCGCCCTTCATAATGCTTAAGAACTTTCCCATCTACCACAGATTACGCGACAAGGCGCCGTCAACATGAGAAAGACGCGTCGATTACCTCATTACACACATGGACACCTTCCGAATCCGCCTCAACTGCGTGGACCACTACCAAGCGGTCCCAGTTGACGGGCTGGATCCTTTACTACCTCTCGGTGCCGGCATCCAGAATCCCAATGACAGGCCTCGACTCTCGGTCATTCGCGTTTTTGGCGCAACCCCAACGGGGCAAAAGGTGTTGATGCACATCCATGGGGCGCTTCAATATACCTATATCGAGTACAGCGGTAGTCTGGTCCCTGAAGACGTCGATGTGGCCATTCGCACGCTGCAGCTCTCGATCGATCACGCCTTGGCCGTGAGCTACCGCAAGAATATCTACGAAGGAAAACATCGATATGTTGCCCACATCTCCTTGGTCAAGGGCATTCCGTTCTATGGCTTCCACGTTGGATACAAGTTCTACCTCAAGATATATTTGCTGAATCCGCTGCACATGACGAGGCTGGCCGATCTGTTGCGTGAAGGAGCAGTTATGAAGAGAGTGTTGCAACCATACGAAAGTCACATGCAATACCTCGCGCAATGGATGTGCGACTACAATCTTTATGGGTGTGGCTATATCGACTGCCAGAAAGTCAAGTTTCGTGCGCCGGTCCCTAAATATGCCGACTTGACCAATCCAATGCACCAATGGCACGACCTTTCCATTCCCTTCGACGCCATTTTTGACGATGCCCAACTATCCAAGCAGAGCCACTGTGCACTCGAGGTGGACGTGCACGTCAAGGATATTCTGAACCGCAGAGACGTTCACGCTCGCACACTGCATCACGACTTCATTGAGCGCACTCACCCTATCCCGGCAGATGACAAGCTAGTGCAGAGCATGGCTGGGCTCTGGAAAGATGAGACTCGACGGCGAAAGATGCGAATGGGCCTCAAAGACCCGAATAGCAGTCCGTTCCCTCCAGAGGTTATGATATCCATGTCGGCAGATCCAAGAAATACCGCTGGTGGGGGGTGGATCCATGAACATGAATTTCGTCAGAAGGTTGCTGAGCTTGCAGCCGAAGAGCTGGACAAGAGTGACAAGCAGAAGATATCTTTCGACACTTTTGTGAAGCCCACATCCCTCGAGGGCTCTGTTCGCACAGCATTGGAGAGCATCGACGACTTGTATCCGGACAGAATCAGATTGCTCCGGCCGACAAATCCCAATGACAGTCTCAATGGCAACAACCCTGCACAAGAGGAGCACCGTCAGACTGTAATTGATCAATCTCGATTGGGGGCGTACGGAGATGGCTCAGGCTCCAGCATGGATGTAGTCGACTCCGAGGAAGGATCGTCTGATCGGTCACCACAAACAGAAGGTCAGAATGTCAATAATGCCAAAGCTGCCGACAGGCAAGTCTTGACACCTATCAGCTCCTCTGAATATGAACGATATGGCATTCGCCCTGCCGGTGACCCGGCACACTTTGATGAAGACGCATTTGAAGTAACACAGGAATATCTAAGCACTCATGCTGAAGTCACGAATGGCACCAAAAGGGCACGATTCGGAGAGACACCAACTTTCAAACCGAGAAAGAGGCAGAGGCACTTGGTTGATTGCGAGAACATTTTGCCTGACTTCGGGGATTGGGACTCGGAGGAGGAACCAGATTTCTCGAATGAGGATGACACGGTCGGTCCAGGCGCAGAACCAACAGAAGAAGAGATGCGAAACGTCCTCTTGCCCCAAGCTACCGTCGATCATGTTTCTCTCATGGGCCAACAACCCCGATCAAAGAATACGTTCGTAGATGGACCGACCTCTGCGAATCTCTCACAACAATCGACATTGTCTTTTCCAACGGTCAAAGATCCGACCGATCCTGCTACTATACTCCGATTGAGCCAGAAAAGCACTGCTTCTCAAAATAATTCGAAGGGCTCGACGACTGAGCCTCCAATATCTCCTGCGACGCTGAAGACTCCCGCAAAGTCTGCGTGTACTACCTCAGAACAAAAACAAATGCCTCCCACCATAGGCACAAGCATCAAGTCGTCTAAATTACTCGATTTCAGTCTCCGAGGTCTCCCAAAATGGCGAGAAGGGAACCGTTTGCAGTTGTATCAACCTCGCCCGCCAAGTTTCAAACAGGTTGAGTCGACTACGTGGCAGAGCGGTCTCCCGGATGTGATCTATCAAGAAGCATACTATAGCCGCGAGGAGGATGTCCCTAACCAGTCTAGAGAATATGCAGGTCGCGAGTTCAAGCTTGAGAGTGCAACGGTGCCGTATCTGCCCGATTTTGATGCCACTGGCACGTCCTTGGCAACATTTGGTCGGAAACCTCCATCCCTGCTAGATTCGGCGGCCGAAAAAGTTCGTGATAATCAGAGACGCAAACGCTGTACTATTTCTGAATGGGCCATAGCTGCGGCTCCCCCTCGAAAAGTTGATGTGCTCTCTTGGTTGGAAGAAGAAAACGACGCAAAACTCTCCGGAAAACAAGCTGGCAAAGTAAGAGCGCGAGGCAGGGAACTTTCACAAATCGATGGCCCAACGCAGAAGAACGAGTACGGCTTCAAGTATTCTCAGAAGCAGCCCAGTACCAGTGTGCAGCATGAGACGCAATATATGAACATGATGAGTATGGAGGTCCATATCAATACTCGAGGTTCTCTTGCACCAAACCCGGATGAGGATGCCATTGCTTGCATATTTTGGTGTGCCCAGACCGACGATGACGGTATTGACGCCGATACAAGCAAGAGTGGCCTCCATGTCGGAATTCTTGCTGTTGCTGGAGATTCGCAGACTGCCCAAAGGATTGCACGCAATGTCCCATACAAAGTTGAGGAAGAGTCCACCGAACTTGACGTTCTGACCAGATTTGTCGACATTGTGAGGTTGTACGATCCTGATGTTCTCACCGGTTACGAAGTGCACAATAGCTCGTGGGGATATCTCATTGAAAGAGCACGGATCAAGTACGACCTCAACTATTGTGATGAGCTGTCCAGAATGAAGTCTCAATCCCACGGTAGATTTGGCAAGGAAGACGACCGCTGGGGCTTCAACCACACCTCGACTGTTCGTGTCACCGGTCGACACACCATCAATATCTGGAGGGCCATGCGCGGCGAACTGAACCTGCTTGGCTATACTATGGAGAATGTCGTCTATCACTTGTTACATCAAAGAATACCGCATTATAGCTTTGCTGATTTGACGAGGTGGTACAGAAGCAAGAACCCTCGCGACCAGGCCAAAGTCATCGAGTACTTCACTTCGAGAGCACAGATCGATATTGAAATTCTTGAAGCCAACGAGCTGATCCCGAGAACAAGCGAACAGGCCCGTTTGTTGGGTGTTGACTGGTTCTCGGTCATATCGCGCGGGTCGCAATTCAAGGTAGAGTCCTTGATGTTTCGCATAGCAAAACCGGAGAACTTTATCCTAGTATCGCCCAGTCGCAGACAAGTGGGAGGTCAGAACGCGTTGGAGTGCTTACCACTGGTCATGGAGCCTCAAAGCGACTTCTACAGTAGCCCACTACTGGTACTCGACTTTCAGTCTCTTTACCCCAGCGTCATGATAGCCTACAACTATTGCTACTCAACTTTTCTCGGTCGAGTCGTTGGCTGGCGAGGTGCCAACAAAATGGGCTTTACAAATTATCGTCGGGAACCGAGGCTACTAGAACTCCTCAAGGATTATATCAACATCGCGCCAAATGGGATCATGTATGCAAAACCCGAGATCCGAAAGTCCCTGCTGGCAAAGATGCTGAGTGAGATTCTCGAGACCCGGGTCATGGTCAAGAGTGGGATGAAGGTGGACAAGGATGACAAGATGTTGCAGAGGCTGTTGAATAACAGACAACTTGCCCTGAAGCTTATTGCCAATGTCACTTACGGCTATACTTCTGCATCCTTTTCCGGTAGGATGCCCTGCTCTGAGATCGCGGACAGCATCGTACAGACCGGTCGAGAAACGCTCGAGAAAGCCATTGCTCTGATCCACTCGGTCGAGCGATGGGGTGCGGAAGTGGTCTATGGCGATACCGACAGTCTCTTCGTCTATCTCAAAGGTCGAACACGGGAGCAAGCCTTCAACATCGGTGAAGAGATTGCCGACACAATCACGAAGATGAATCCTCGACCGGTCAAGTTGAAGTTCGAGAAGGTCTATCATCCCTGTGTTTTGCTTGCGAAGAAAAGATATGTGGGGTTTAAGTACGAAAGTCGCCACCAGACTGTGCCAGACTTCGATGCCAAAGGGATCGAGACCGTCCGACGAGATGGCACTCCAGCCGAACAAAAGATTGAGGAAACTGCGTTGAAGTTGCTGTTTCGCACCGCCGACTTAAGTCAGGTCAAAGCATTTTTCCAGTCTCAATGTGCCAAAATCATGCAAGGCAGAATTTCGATTCAAGATTTCTGTTTCGCTAGAGAAGTCAAGCTCGGGACCTACAGTGACAAACAGCCCCCACCTCCTGGTGCACTCATCAGCGCTCGAAAAATGGTGGAGGATCCGAGACTGGAGCCTCAATATGGAGAACGAGTACCTTATGTGGTCGTCACGGGTGGACCGGGTGCAAGGTTGATTGATCGTTGCGTGGCGCCGGAGGTCTTGCTCAACGACGCGCACTCGGAGCTTGATGCGGAATATTACATTTCAAAGAATATCATCCCACCTCTTGAGCGGATCTTCAACCTTGTAGGGGCCAATGTCCGTCAATGGTACGACGAAATGCCGAAATACCAACGAATCAGGAGGGTGGACGCTGGGCTTGGTGCAGACGGGAAAATCGGTGCCAGGGCTCAAAAGACTCTGGAGTCATACATGAAATCGTCGACGTGTCTTGTCTGTCGTGAGCGACTGGACACTCCAGCCCCTCTGTGTGACAAGTGTGCTCGGCAATCTTCACAGACTATGCTTGCACTACGGTCGAGACTCATGAAAGCAGAGAGAAAAGCGGCACAACTGGCCAAGGTCTGCCGGTCCTGCTCGGGATTCGGATGGAATGAGGAAATACGGTGTGATAGCAAGGACTGTCCTGTCTTCTACTCACGGACTAGACAGAGGACTGCCCTTGCGAATGATGAAGCCCAGATTCTGCCTATCTTGGAAACTTTAGAGAAGGTGAATGATGGGGGAATAGAGTGGTGAGGTATTGCATTTACGAGGGGAGCGAGCATTGGTTCTTGGATAGCATAGCATGGTTTCAGGGGTTGGTTGGATACGCGGTAGGGGACAGGGACTGGTGCATGAGATACCCACTGGCTTATGAGGCGGCAACACAGGACAGAATATGTGAACATGTACATTATGGGACAATCGGGTCAGCACGAGCTGAATGATCACGCGGTTATTCCGTTTTCTTGAAGCATTGAAGTATTGCTGGTCCTTGTCGAGTAGTGCACACGTCCCAAGGAGCATAGGAACTGAATAGGGACTAGCGTCTTGGCACATTTCCCGCTCCGGCGCCGGTGGTTGACATGCCGCAACTTGGAAGCCATTTCTTGTCTCCCCATCGTCAGACTCGCCGTCCACCTTCACGACGACTTGCGCGCCATACCAGGCAAGAATGAGAAGGCGACACCACCTCGGGAACACCCCAGCTTGTAGATACGCTTGCCATCTGTCCAGTGCTCTTCTGCAATTGGCAACATGAGTTCTGCTCCAAGGCGGACAAATCTGGCATGCAACTACTGCCGCTACAGGTACACTGAGATCCTTCGAGGTTGCCAGACATTAACAGCCCGGCAGAAAACGACGATGTGATGGCAGTGTTCCAACCTGCAAAATGTGCCGAGACAGAGGCCTAGATTGCGTGTACCAAGACGGCCCATCCCCGAGGCAAGTTCTATGAATCACTGACTATCCGTTTGTGTCATTTCTACACGATGCTAAGCTGGCGCAGAACTGACAGGCGTGATCTATCTGATGCTCGAATAACCCGCTTAGATACAATTGAGGACGTGCTACGACAACACGCTATGATCATCAACTCCCTCCGTCCAAGTCCGCCACGGCCGTCCGTGACGTCCTCCTCCACGCCCACATTTGCTTATGAGGACATACCCGGCATGAGTACATCTCAGCCCCAGCAAGAAGTCCAGCAAGAAGATTCTGGACTCGGTGACCCTACAAACGCAGGGAATGGCCCACAGGACGATCCATCGGCACAAGCAGACCATCAAGTTCCTCCACTGACAATCCCTCTTGGTCACCAAACCAGCACAAGCAGCCTTCTTATGTTACCGCAAATGCGTACACTGGTGGGTGACTTCCCAGAGGAGTTTCTCTTCTTGGTCGAAGATAATCGACCGCAGTCGCTGTGGTTGCAACACATCAGTTCGAGACGAGGCGACATGGAGGAGGACTTTCTGCAGATTGACAGGTCATTTGCGGACACCTGGTTTGAACGATACTGGACACTGGTGCATCCGTATAGACCTCTCCTTGACCAGGAGGATATGTCCTCACAATATGAGAGGATAATGAACCAAGGGCTCCAGGAGGACTCATACTCTGCTCTCCTTTTGTGTCTGCTCGCACTGGGGGCTACTGCGTTGGATCCTATTGAACCCACCCCCGTCGGACACACCGGCGACGAGCTGATTAGAAAAGCACTTCGCATACTTTTCCCGTCCTGGGCTGTGACGTTCAGCGGAGACCTTGTTCTATCTCAGGCACTCGTTCTCTGCGCTCTTTACTTTTGCTACGTGGTGGAACCATTGATGGCCTGGAGGCTTACACATATGGCGTCAACAAGTGTCCAGCAAATGTAAGTTTGGCCGATGCCGTTTTATCCGATGCATGACACAAGTCTGACTGAGTTCCCTCAGGCGCAGAGGACATTTATCCCAGAGCACCAATGAAGGTGTCATTAGGGTCAGTTGGGCGTGCTTCCTGATCGAATGGTATGTTTGTTGATTGAAGTTATTGTTAAGAACCAGGCACTGATGAAAAATCTCAACTAGCAATATCCTGGCCGAGTTCCATCTACCTAGAAGTGGCATCGAGCCCCTGGTTGACAGGTTGCCTTTTCCGACATACAGTAAAGTCACCGCGTCAGAAAGCTTGTACTCATTGGCCGACATATCAGCAAGGTCCTTGCTTAATCGGATCCATCATACCGTGTACTTCACTGACAGCCTCTCCCTATACGCCGGTCGGTCTCAGAGCTCGTGTGGAATCCTCTCGTCTGACCCCGATGCGTCGTTGTTAAGAGTGTGCGAGGAACTCGACCGTCAGCTCGAAACATGGTACGAATCACTACCCGAGGCCATTAAACCGGATCTTTTCGGCAGGCCAAGGGGCAGTGACCCAACTTGTGTTCTGCGTCTGAGATATTGGTCTGCCAAACACAACATCTATCGACCATTTGTAGTCTACGTGACCTCACGTGCTGCAGAACGAGAGGGAAGCATACCGGCAATAGCTCTTGAGCGTTGCCAGATTTGCCTGTCTGCTAGCCGGATCTTTCTTCTGACTGCTGGTCATGTTCTGTCGCAGAGGTCCCCATACACTTTTAGTACAGCACAGTGGTAGGTTGCTTGCATGCTCATCTATGCGAAATCTATGGCTAAGTGATCTATTCAACGCAGCTGTGTAGGCTATGCGCTTATCATCGCGCTCGCTGCCCAGACTCCTGCACTGGCCGACTCCGTTGACGACGTTTCACAGCTGCTGGAGACGGCTGTTGGGCTTCTGAGACCATGGGCACTACCTGGATCGAGCATTGAATGCGGCCTTGAAATCGTAAGTTCCATACACAGAAAGCAGCGGCTGCGCAGGCTTCGAACGCGATGAGACTGCAATGGCCATCGGGATGTACGACGTGGAAAGGTTTGTACATCTGCTGAGTGCCATTTTTCCCGACTAACTAAAGTAAATAGTCCCTCATGGCTGTCACTCGGTTGCTAAAAATGAAGCATAGGTTTTTTACAATATTGAAGATTCAATGCAAGAGCGAGAGACTTGAAGTCAACATGAACAGCTGCATGCAGAGTGCAAGCCACTGACGGGCTGATGGAGATCATTATAAGATCGCCCCTTTTAAAGCACTCTCTCCACGCAACGTCCGACCTCAGTCTCTGTCCTTACTAGCCTCTGGCCGCCATAACCCTTTCAATAGCCACCTTAGCCTTTTCTTCGGCCCCGAGGAAAAATCTACAGGCATCTGCGAACCTTCTATTCAGCACCGCATTCTCTGCGATGAACTGGTCAAGCTTTTTCCCGCCATCCACCACGAAGTCTGTGTCCATCGTGGCTTGCACTCCATTCCAGTCGGGTCCGGAAAGCGGGTCCAGGGTCTCCAGTGTCTTCAGACGCTCCGCAACGGCGAATTCAGCATACGGATGCTTGGGCTTCTTGTTGAGCACCGGAGGAAGGGTGTCCAGTGTCTCCATGAGCTTCTTGAGATTGGGGCCCTGAACGGTGACATGTTGACAACCCAATTCGGCCATCGCAAGAACCTCGGTGATGTTGAAATGGCTGTGGCAAGCAGCAAGTGTCAGCAGCAGCTCTGCAGCAATCCGAGCAGCGCTCTCTGGCGCACGACTTACCTCGCAATGACCATAATCGGTTGCTCCTTTCCAGTCTGCCCATAAGCTTGGGCAAATGTCTTCAGTATGTGTATTACGCGGGCTGACATGGGATGCTAGAGGGACTGTCAGCTTGTTGCACCGATGTGACAACAAATGGGCAGAATGTACCTCGAGAGCTGGGTCTTTGACCTGTGGACGTAGCGTTGGATCAAAATGTGCTGCAATTTCTAGTATGAAGGTAAGTTTGGTATGTCGCTAGCGGATAGTTTGAAGACTGACCATTGTAGTATGGACTGATGAACAGGCAGTTTGACTGGCTGGCTGCGATGGCTTGCTCAAGAGAGAAGACAGCCGTCGCCAGCGTGCGAATGCCTTGCGCATTGAGCTCGAGAGCCGCCGAAGCCGCAGCTCCAGAAAATGGCACTTTGATTGCGAAACGATCTCTTGACACACCGGCTTTCTCAAACTCGTCGGCATATTCGTGGCATTGTTTGATTATGGCGGCACGGTCATTCACATGACGGAGGGAGGTCTGGACAAGGACACGACCAGACAAATATGGGACATTTCTGGCACAAAAGGTCACACCCTAAGATCTCCAAGCGCTCGTCAGAACTGAAAACATGCGCGCATTCACGAAATGACTAGAATATCACGTACCGCCATGTTATACACTTTCTCCCAGCCCTCCTTGCCATACTTGTCAACAAGCTCCTCTAGAAGCTTCTGGTTCTCGGGCTTCAGCAGCTCTTTCGTAATAACACCTTGGTTCGAAGTCTCTGATCGACTCAATTAGCGATCTGAGACGCTCTTTCACCAACCCCTCAAGTTGACGTACGGTTGTGAGGAGTGAATGGCAAGCTCCTGATAAGTTCGGTATCCACGTCATCGACGTCGACATTGCAGAGCTCTTCAAGTCTGTCGAGAAGGGAGCGTGGCGCCATGATGTATGTGATGGTCAGAGTTGTACTTGTGGACGAGGTTTAGGACAGACAAGTTGCAATGCCTCGATCCTAAGAAAGGAGAAAACTAGTATTCGCTGCCCAGTTGGTACTCTGTGCGGTCTGCCAGTCTGAGCGCAGGAACAAATGACCTGAAGCCTGGTTTTCTTCTGATTCAACCCGGTGCCCTCTTTGTTTATTCCCCCGACTCTCTTGTTTTCCCGATACCGGTGGACGTCTCCTGTCTCCTCATTACGCATCGTCGCGGAGAAAACTGCGGCATCTGGCTCCACGATCCACCAACTCGTTCAGAGGGGCTGTGGGTCCATGGTTCTTGGGCGGCGGTCCGCCCTCCGCCGCTAACCATAGATGGTACGAGGTACAGTTCTAGCGGCAACACCACGATGCTGGAATGAGACAACTCACCGTCATCGAGTCCAGCCCCAGCAGATTGAGAACATTGCATGCAGACACAGCGGCGGCACCTCTACCGATGGCACTCTGTGTCTACTTCGGCAAATACAATGGAGAGACCCAAAGACACAGGCTGATAGGCAGCAATGATTGAGTGAGTGGCTATTGTTTTTGCTTTCTCGGCCTCTTTCTAGCCAACTGCAATCATACCGCAGGACCAAAAAGCAGCTCTCTATCGCCACCTCTCCCTCTCCATCTCGGTGTATAACAAAGCAGTTCTCTACTCCTTGATCCACGGCTCTACAAGCAACATGATCTCAAAAGAGCCCTTTGTCGAGCAAGCGACGAACGGGCAGCATGGCCCAGAAAGCGACTCAGCCAGAGACCTCTTTTCGCTCGACCACAGAACAATTATCGGTATGTGACAAGACATAAATGCGGGATCAATGGTGTTGTCCATTTCCCGGCTATACCACATCTTCTGCAACAGCGAACACTTACCCTAAATACAGTAACCGGCGCCATGGGCGGGATGGGCGTCGTGGTGGCCAAGGCGATTTTGCAGTCCGGCGCTGACGTGATTGCCATCGATCGCAACGCGGAGCCCAAGGCTTCTCACACAGGTATGGGCTTCGCGACAGACCACCACACCGAACATGGCTTCAAAATAACTAACGCCGGTGCCTTTAGAAGACCTATACAGAGCCGCGGAGAAGAGCGGGACCGTCGTGGCCTACTACCAATGCGACATCTCCAACCTCGAGTCGACCTACGCCGTGTTCGAAGGCGCCGTCGCCGCCGCCCGGTACCCCCTGCGCGGACTGGTCAACTGCGCCGCGATCGGCTGGGTTGGCCCGTCCATCAGCTTTCCCGTCGAGGACGCCAAGCGGATCATCGAAGTCAACCTCGTCGGAACGCTGATATGTGCGCAGGCCGCGGCGCAGCTGGTCAAGAAGCACAATTTCTCCGCCAGTTTTGTCTTGATCGCGAGCATGAGTGGATACGTGGTCAACAAGGTGTGTTGCATTTTTCATTTTCCCTACAAAGAAAGACCATCCTTTTCTTCAATGACACCACCGCGGCCGCGAGAGAGAGAGAGAGAGAGAGAGACACACACACACACACACATGAGGGCTGACATTGTGGCTGTTCTCTTTGGATTCTGGCAGGGCACACCCAACGCGGCGTACGCGGCCTCCAAGGCCGGTGTGCACCAGCTCACGCGCAACCTGGCGTCCGAATGGGGCTCCTCGACCGACGACGAGGGGCCCTCGATCCGAGTCAACTCGGTCAGCCCCGGCGTCATCCGCACCCCGATGACCGCGGGCGTGCTCTCAAACGGCAACTTGGAACACATGTGGACCGAGGAGACGATGCTGAAGCGGCTGTCCGCGCCGGAGGATTACAGGGGGCCCATTGTCTTTCTCCTGTCGGATGCCAGCTCGTACGTCACGGGGGCGGATCTCTTAGTCGACGGAGGGTACACGGGATGGTGATGGAGATGTGGTCGCTTGTCGAGGAACAGCAACGCAGGCAGTTGGTGATGAGCTTGGAAATTGGGTTTGACGATAATTCATGGGGCCATGGGAAGAATTCGTTTAGTCGCATTTGGCATGCAGCTGCTGCCGGGTGCTTTTCGAGGAAGTCTACATTAGAAAGCAAGCATGCTAAAGGGAGCATTCTCGGTACGGTTCCCTAATAAAAGACATTTCTGGTGTGTCAGCTGGTGCAGGTAGTGCGCCGCGACAGAATTCATAAACTAGATAGAATTCATTGCTTTGGTGTCATTACTGAACCTGTGCTTCTACCGCAATGCTCTGCCTTCTTTCGTCCCTCACAATATGGCGATCGCATTGGCCATACTACCAACGCCACCTATGGAGCATTATCAGTCAAGATCGTCACTCGATCTCGTGAAGATGACATACCTCTGACATTGTTGGGAGCACTAGCCAGGAAAAAGGTCCATTTCTTGTTGGCCGCGCAGCAGGAGGCAAGAGCGTCGAGGTCCCAGAGTTCGCCGATCGGACAGCCCCAGAGCGCCAGGAGGTGTTCGTGCAGGTAGAAGCCTTTGTGGATGATTCAACCTGTTAGCCATGAATCCTTTTCGCAGCTGTGCCATCGCAAACAGACGGGAGGATTGAAGACCCCCTCAAACAATAACATACCAGCGTCCGACGGCATGGCTTCAAATCCAGGCTGGTCTCCAACCACGGCGGCAAAATACGAGTCGTGCAGAAAGTCGAGCATTTCTTCACTCTGCTCGAGCCCGATGTAGCGTTGGCCGTCGTCGGGCGTGAATTCGTGCCGTCGGAGGTGCATCTTCGCCTTTTCCTCGTCGCTTAAGGACGACTCGTGCTCCAGGAATCCCGTGCGGACGAGGAGAATGTCCCCGACGCGAATGTCGCCGCCCACGCTCTCAGGCTTTAGGTTGATGCCTTGACTGGCTGCCACCTCGACCAGGGTCTGGTGGGAGATCTTGTAGTTGTCAAAGTATTTGACTTGAAGACCGTTGGCTTGGGCGTACCTGCCGAAGTCGAGGAGCATGCCGCGGCCGGCGATGCCATGTGTAGCCCACGCCTGCACGCCGAGCTTTGGACCGCCCTTGTATATATCTCTGGCGGAAACCTAGGGTAATATCCTGATAAGAATGTGCGACTTGATGGAGGCCTGCCCTCCCTCTCCCCTTGGTCCCGGGATCTCTGAAGCTCACCTGATTGTAAAAATAGCCAGACGGGACATGACAGAACTAGTAAGCCGTCAGCGGATTAGCTCGTCTGTATCGCCAGGTAACAGGCTCAGCATCCGCGGGACTCACATGATGGAATCCGTCCCACTGTGAACTTGACTGTGGATTGACCACATAGACTTCGTCAAAGGCATGAGGCGCAACCTGCGTGAGTCTGTGCTCAAAGGCGGCCCGTCCGTACATGGGTGGAGAGGGCTGGTCCAAGGGGAGACTGTGTGTGATCCATGTCATAGTCAACAAAGGTTGGTCAAGGGAAAAAGTATCCCTCACCGGCCGTAGCCAACGAGACTTACTTGAGGTTCACGATTCGGCCCTGTGTCGCCTCCTTCATTGCATTCAGGATTCTTTCAGGTGTAAGGAGATTGAGCCGCCCGAGCTGTGTTGCGGATAGTTTGGTTAGTACGTGCCTCTGAAGTTCGTGATAGATGATGGTTTTCGAACCTCGTCTTCCTCGCCCCAGATCCAAGCAGCTCCAGGCGGTTGGCCCTTGCGAGGGACTAGGTCTTTGCGAAGCGGTAACATATTTGCAGTCCGGAGTCAATGGCTGCGGCCGAAGGCGAAGAAACGGGCGGCGTTATGTGCGTTTGGGTCAAAATAGGCACCCCGATGTAAAGGAGTTGCTAAAAGACTTTTGAGACACTAAACTCCCAAATTGTCGGGGATTTGTGTCACGTAAAGGCATGCGAAGTCATGTGCCTTGCTCAAACTGTGTCCGACTTCTTTAGTACACGACCTCGGCCGGGAATACACAAGTATCAAATTTGGGCTGAACCAGGTTTGTTCCCAAGGCGTCCGGGCGTCCGGCCTTTCCGGGTTGCCGGGTCCCTTGATTGCGGCAATATCTCTCAAAAATCTCCGGGAGCCCCAAACTGAAGGGAATTTCTTAAACGTCAGGTGACACAGTCCTTCATGGTGTTCTGCACCTTCATGCGGACTGTAGTCGATTTCAACGACTTATGAGAAAGGTCAGCAATATGATGGAGTGGCTTGAGAAGTTTGCCTACCGAAAAAGTTCTTTTCGTGCGCGATGCCTTGGTGGGAGTACCATGAATCCCGCCGAACGGCCTGCAGATTGCCAGATTCTAACTGTACAGCATTCCTGGTTCATCTAATTGTCGCCATAGAGCGCGTTCTGCAGCCAACTCATCGTCGTATCGAGTTACGCCCTCCTCAAACCTAACCCACCAGTCCGCATTGCAATATGCATAATGCGCCTTTGTGTATTCCCAATATTCCGGATACCATCCGGCGAATTGCCAATCAATAACGGCAACAATCTTGCGGTTGCGCACGATGAGATTGCGAGGGCAAATGTCGGCGTGAGAGAAGCAGGTTCTGTATTTGCGAGTATGAAACCGCGTGACAACTTCGCCGAAGACTTGGGAACAGTTCTCGAGCGGGATATTGCCACGCAGGAACGAATGGAACGAATCAATGTTGTTGAAAGGGCCAAAGGGGCGGTACCCTACTCGGACGTCAAAACACTGTCCAAGTTCTGATGAGGCAACGACTCCCTTTTGTGGCGGGTCGAGCTGTCGAAGTTGCTCAATGTAATCAGCTATCTGTCGAACAATGGCTTGCTTCTCATCAGTCGATAAAACGTCGCCCACCCATGACGCTTCCAGCGTGTCACCGTGGACATATTCCATCTCGATGTAGAGGCGTCCGTCAATTCCATAAGTTCTATGAACCTTGGGCACAGGTATAGAGGTGTGTTTCGCAACATATCTCAAGCCTTCAAGTTCTGCTGAGGGACAGGGACCTTTGATGATTCGATCCTTGCTGACCCTGACCACGATGGATCCTAAGTAGCCAAAGCGCTTCTTGCCTAGCCAGAGCCGAGCTCAAAGGAAGAGGGATATCAGCTTCGACAAAATGGACATGATGACAATGACTATGAAGAAGCTAGATCTGGGTGTGATAGACGACGAAAGGAACAGACTCATGGAAGGGGGTCACAAGAAATAAAAGCGGCGGCCCTTCGTATCGCGTGACTTTTTGACTCCAAAGAGCAGGTGAGCCGAGTTCCAAAATAGGGGCCTGGTTTAAATGACATATTTACAGTAACAAGTACTACTCCGTCAACGCAGAACTGGCTCACATTCAGCTCAAGGTGACCACCGTCTATATATGCCTATTCTCCAGCCTTGCATATAACGGTCCTTCCTCCCTTATTGCTGATGCTGGTCATATCTGATCCGGGGGCTCTCACGTCTCTAATATGGGCGGCAAAGCACGAGTTATGATCGCAGTCCACCACCGGGGTAAATTGTCGCTTGGAGACAACAGGAAAGAGCTAGGCCGGTCCGCGTACCACTGGGGAATCCTCGTCCAGCGCAAGAAGCCCAGGGGCCTTGATTCAAACGCATACGACGCGACCGACGGAACACTGCTTGACCCCTTGACCGGAGTGGATCACAACTCAAACCATGACTGGCGATTCCGTTCTAAGCTGGGGACCGAACCCATGCAAAGTGGTCAGATTCTTGTTAGAATAACGATCGGGAAAGTGCCGCCTCATATTACGAATGCTCGAATCGAAGCTCTTCTCAAAGCAGTACCTCTCCCTGACAAAAGCGCGACGCCTAGGCAGAGCTGTGTGACTTGGACCATGGCTGCCATTGAGGTGATGCAAAAGGAAGGTCTGGCAGAGGCCTTCGACGTGAACCAGTTCATGGACAAGGCTCTCGAAGTAGCCGATGAATGGATAAAGAACCCGGTGCCGGGAAGAATTTACAACTATACCAATCGACCACAGTAGCTCTGAAGCAGCTGAAAGCAAAAGTAGTTCTTGACAACTGATGCTGGACTTGGAGGAACAAAGTCGTCAGTCTCTCTATGGGGAATGATCTTGGACCTCGTGGGGAGGTCCATCCATGAGATTCATCCTGTCTTCCAAGCTACAAACGCGGTCCCTGAGCCTCATTTTCAAAGACAATATGACCGTATTCGCAGAAACCCTTCTGTCCTTCGGTCAATATGGCTGCTCGATTCTTCCAATGAGTGGTCTCGTGATAGGCGTGGTGCTCTTCCGTACTCTCCCATCCAACAAGTGCTATAAAGCATCTTTGATGTCCATCCACGGGCTCGACGATGTAACCTCCAGCCACGCCTTTACACCCTTTGACTCTAGGAACAATGGTTGACCAGAGGTTCCAGGCGTAGTCCCAAGCTTTGTCAGTCACCTTGTAGATTGCTGTCCCGGTAAACGGTGCTCCGTTCCCGAGAGATTCGCAAGGTTGTGTATATTCGATGAGGTCGGCATGTCGAACTATCAGATCACCTTGTATAATGTCTTGCAGGCGTTGTTTCAGCTCTGCATAGTCCGGTGACGCCAGAAAGTCGTAATGTTGATAGAGCCCCTCTCTAACTAATGATCAAGACGTCAGTAGCTGCTACGATGGCTTGGTCGCCGAGAATTTTGGACTCATATGTGGGACAGTCTTGTAACACGGTATGAACATACCGATATGAAGATATACTTTGTTCTCATTCTCCAGATGCAGGCCCCAATAGAGTCGCCGCACAGTTGGACTCGACTTGAGCCAACTGACGACCTCAAACCAGGTCTTGCCGTCTTTCGAGCCGGGGTCTTTAATATTGATCCCAGGCTTGTGCCTGAAAGTTATCATCTGCGTGCTGGCTGAGGTGTGCGCCATAACGAATAACAATACACCCCCCCCAAAAAGCTATTCGACAACCGAAAAGGTCCGGAAGGATTAATCTTGATTTATTGAGGATCTTCCAAGGGCATTGGGAAGTTGTTCATAGAGCATTTGATAAGTCAACGATGACCACGACCAGATGAAAACATCCGATAAGTCTGGGGGGGTTAGCCGTATGCCCCATGTTCGACCAAAGTTTAGCGTGTCAGTGCCTCCTGACACTTTCGGTAGAGAATTCCCAAAGCAGCAGCCGAGGGGGAAACGCGGGGGATGAGGTTACCAAGACGCCCTCATGACTCGCCGCTGGAGGTCGGCGGGTGCAACACAGCTCTAGGAACTGCGGGACATGGGAAATTTAAGTCAAGAACTGGGGATGCCCTGCCATCCAGTGTATGGAAGCTTGGGAAGATATCTTGACTCCTCTCGGTGAACAGGACTTTTCTCTGAGGCCAAAATTGATCACATCGCGCACCGAAGTAAGTCGAGATGCCTGTGACGAACTTCACCGTCCAGGAAAAATACCAATACCTTGAAGGATTTGGCAATCATCAGCAGTGAGTGCCCATTGTCTGTTTCGTGACGTTCAGTTTGGGGGTCTCCCTGTATGTATTGATCCCAACCGCCATCCTAGGTCGGAAGCATTTCCTGGTGCCAGTCCAGTAGCATGCAACAATCCTCAGAGGCCGCCGTTCGGGCTGGTTACCGAGCGCATCTCTGGAAGCTCGTTTACCTCGCCTCGCAGCCACACTCTGCAGACGTGGCTTTATCGAGCAAAATCCTCCTTAGTACATAGCGAATTCAAACCTTATGGCAACAAAATGAAGACTCCAAAAGCGCACATGACGCCCAATGCTCTGCGATGGATGTCTTTTCCTGTGGAACCAGGGGCTGATTGGACAAAGACTGCCCTGCTGGCGTACTCTGGAGACGCAGCCACCAAGACTGGGCTGGCGGTTTATCTTTACGCAATCACAGAGGATATGGAAACTGCGCACGCCTTCTCCTCACTCGACGGCGACATGCTCATCATCCCGCAATCGGGAACAATCGATGTGCAAACCGAAATGGGAAACCTTTTGGTGCGACAGAACGAAATCGCAATGATTCCTCGAGGAGTCCGTCACCGAGTCACTCTCCCCTGCGGCCCTTCGCGGGGGTTCATCTGTGAGTTGTTCCAGGGACACTTTCGCCTACCCGAGTTGGGACCTATCGGATCATGCTCATTAGCGAACATCCGTGACTTTCAAGTTCCGGTCGCGGCATTTGATGGAAAGCTTCAAGCCGGGCGCGCCCTGGGAAACGACAGAACGTGGACCATTATTTCACGATTAGGGGGAAACCTGTTTAGCTGCACTCAGGATCATACTCCTTTCGACGTCGCGGCTTGGAATGGGACATTTTACCCGTTCAAATACGACCTTGCACGGTTCTGCGTGCTCGGGAACACCCTGTTCGACCACGCCGATCCGAGCATATTCACGGTTCTGACTGCACCCTCTTACCGTGAGCCTGGGACCGCCGTCGTGGACTTCGCAATAATACCTCCACGTTGGAACGTGATGGAAAACACTTACTGGTTGCCCTACTATCACCGAAACACCATGACCGAGCTCTCTGGGGCAATCATAACGAATCAGGATCCCAGCAGTCCGTGGAACCAAGGCCTTAATTTTCAACCTTACGGTGCAACGTTGAATTCGGGGATGGCATGCCACGGTGCGAACAGTGACGCCCATCGAGCAGCCGAGGAACAGGAAACGACTCCCAAAAAGGTCCAGAACGAAGGTTTCACCATCTTCTTGCTCGAGACCGAGTGTCCCTTGTGGGTTTCCGATTGGGCTGTAGAGTGCAGGGATGTTTTGAAAACCAGGGAGGAAAAAGCGAAGCCCAAAATGTGAAAATGACTTGTACCTAGTTACAGAGGTGTTCATAAGTGCTGTGCTTCGAATAGTCTTCTTCACAGTTTGAAGCTCCAAAGTGAATTACCAGCTGACCCTCACTCACAACATGCTTAAGTGCAAGACGAACTTACTCTTTTCAATAGGCGCCGGATATTAGAGCTTGTGTTAGGTTGCCCTCGAAGACCAATAACAATATGGTTCTGGTTTAAACAGGACTGGAACACTACCTCACAGAAAATAAACACGAGACTCTATTCCGAGGCAACAAGTCTTGCTCTAAATGATCTGTGGGGCTGGGAGCCGCCGACCCCGCTCCAAGAATACGGGGTAATAACGAGGCAACATGGAGAGCCTAGCATGATGACTACCTCTCTTCCACGTGTTATGACTTCTCCACCGAGCGCAAGGGTGTAACACCGATATATCTTGAATGAGAGAATCATATCAATCATGCCAAGCCACGCGCCGTCACCAATGGCGTCGGTGCCAAAGCCACAACTCTCTACCGACTGTCGGCGCGCGAAGAAGCGCGAGATGGATCGAATGAACCAGCAAAGAAAGCGCAAGAGAGACCGAGAGTATCTGGAGCGATTGCAGGAGAACGTTCAATTGCTTCAACAGGACAAGGCGAGCAACTTGGCCTCAAGGCTCATGGCGGAGCGGGACCTCAACGATGAGAGAATGCTGCGACACAGGAAAAGACTGCTTCAAATCAAGGGGTTGATCGAGGCCGACTTGGCCGACCTAGGCCAGCCTGAAGATGCCCCAAGTGACAGGATCGATCCAGACGCTCTTGGTCCCTCGCCAAACCCCATGATTCTCCCGGTGGTCGATCCGTCGCTGTTAGAGGCAGCTTCCCCAGAGCCTGGGCTAGATTCCAGCGCCTTCTTACCCGGCGAAAAGAACGACACTCTGGACGCACTCCTTGCAGAGCTTTCTGCCCCTTTTGTCAGAGATGACGCTGTGTTCTGGCCTTCCCCGATGCCATGTGCCAAGACAGGCTCTATCGAGAGCAACCCTTTGCTATCCTCGAAATCAGCTCTTGATGGCCGTCACAGTAAGGTCTGGAGAGACATTGAACTGCTGATCTCCCACGCAATGCCGGTTTCGACCCTCGGCGACACTGAGCTTGACATGCACATCGCCATCACTGCGGTCTCGCAGGGCTGGACCCAATTCTCTCAAGCCGTGATGGTCGACGCGCGATGGAGCTGTCTGCGCGAACTGGACGAAAAGTACTTTGCACCAAACTACAGCAAGATTGAGCGCCTGGCAGTTTTGACGGTAGCAAGTCAAACGATCAAACAGGACGTAAGTGGCCCTCACTTTAAGGGTCGTGCTGGCATTGCTGACAAGCCCAGATGATGCAGCGGACTACTGGAACAAGCCCGTCCAAAATCCTGCCGCCGTTCATAAAACCAAGGTATTGACTCTCCCCATGGCGTTATCGATGCCAGCCCCATTGCTAACTGCGGGTTTGACGCAGACCTTCCCAACTTGCGTTCCCTCACTCAGTCATTGCCGACTGCTACGTCTGGTAGGCGCAAATCACGGGTTCCCCTCATGATAATGTCCCGCTTACTTCGGACCAGGCCAGGCTTCCGTGAGCGACTCTCCATCTGCCACGACTACTACACCGATGTCTTCTTGCACGCAACCCACACCATGTTCCGATTTCTCTGGCCGTACGACTTCAAAGAAGCGTTCAAGCTGAATGTCCAGACGGGACTGTGCCATCTATCCCCCCGCTTCCTGGCCAGCATGCACGACATACGGTGCTGGACGATGAACTCGGACTTTTTCCAGAGCTGGCCCGACTTTCGTGGGGATGTCCCTGTCTCGAACCCCGAACCCGCGCAGCCAAGCTTGCACACAGCGTGGTACGCATTTCAAACCCAAGAAGACTCCGAGACCTATCAGGACGACGCATCGAATGAGAAATGCTTCGGTGTGTGGACCAGCGTCTGAACTCGTGTATCTTGTATATTTTTGACGACCGGACCCTCAATGCCAACTTTCGAGATTGAGATGCGCTCCATTCACTCTCCTGACGTTCAGTGAAGATATTGTATTCAAGCTTTTTATGCACGAAAGGTCTCTTAGCCTGGGATTCGTAGAAGCTGGTATTTCCGGACTTTTCTCACTCTCCTCTGTATCGAGGCCAGTTTTGAAAATCCCGTTTGCACACCAGGCCACGGCGACAACGCATTTCCTCAGGCCCTTGCCCCCCCATATTACAACTTTAGCGGGACCCCCACAAACTTGCGGAACGTCGCCTGGAGGCCGCTATCGAAAATCCTCGTCGACCCTCGCGATCCGGCCCGTCTTCCACCCGCGCGATGATCGCCGCCGGCAACCGCACCTTCTCGCCGTCGTCGACCCGATTCCCCTCTAAAACATGCCGCTGCACGAACCCGCCCGGGAAGACTGTCGAGGCGACGACGATCAGAGTACTTCAGATTGGCGACGCGCTGGAAACACGCCGGCGAGCACCGTGGCCGTGTGCTCCGGGGAGGTGACGTGGTCGTCGGTGTTGTGCCGGATCTGAGCGTCGGGGGGCGAGCAGGCTCTTCATCATCGCGATGTCGCCGGCCTCGATGGCGTGGAAGAATCGCGCTGCCAGGGTCCGGACGGTGGCGCTGGCGGATCTAATGGGCAGGAGGACTCGGGATCCGGACTATCAAGAGCGGGAATGCCTCACACCTCTATGAAAAGCCTCCAGTGTGGAAGTTGCCACAGGTCTACGTGCCGGCTGATAATCTATTTTCTGGGCCGCCAACTTTGTGCGCATTGTCGCTCGGTAACGGGAGCAGAGCGGAAGTGGCAGTACCTACTGACAAACTGTGCACAGCGCTTCCGAGGGACAGGGTTGACCATGAATTCTTACGGGGCCTAAGGCGGATGTCTAGGTGGTTGATAGACTATGATACGTTTAAAATCCGCCCGATTGATACGAGACGATGACAATGACGCAGGAGCCTCTGACAAGTCGTCCCAACTTTCGATCCGCCTAATGCCTCGTAAGTGAAACGGATGAACGATCACCGGTTTGGTCGCGCGAGGTGATGTGCCGGAGATAGTGCCGAACTCTGGTGGAGATCCTGACCTCCGCTACTGGCTCTTCTGCTTCTTGTTGGCCACGTCCATATCCGATAAACCCGTACTGCCATCTAACAGCAGCGCGCGACAACACTCTAGCCTCCATTAATGTTCAACGGGGACGTGCAAGTGAATGAGTTGACCTCTGGAATCTTGAAAGCATCGATCATGCTACCGAGCGTCAGATCAATCCACAACCAGACGTGGGAGAGCACTTACCCCTGGATGGAAGCCCACATTCCCAGGCCGCACATTCCAAGCGAGGCCAGGAAGTACAACACATGCCAGACGTTGATCGAGACCTGGAAGATACCTCCAGACCAAAATCCGCGAATGTACCGACTCATGCCAGTCATGCCTCGCGAAGTGCGACCTATTGCGGGATCAAACGTGCCCAGGGTGTGCATCTTGATGTCGAAACCGAGCGCGATCCACGGCGGAATCGTGTATGATAGATTCAGCAGGCAGGACGCGGACATGACGCCGACGAAGTAGACATATGCGGGGATCGCCGCGGCGATGATGAATGCGATGGACCACCAGACTGGGACGATCGCGGCATAGAAGATCTTGCCGCGTTTACTGGTCATCAATGGCGCTTTGAAGATGTCGACCAGGACATTGTTGTAGAAGACTTTGATGCCGATGTTCCCATAGAGCCCGGCGGCGATGAGGCCACTTATGAGCGTGAGTGTGTTGCCTGTTGGGAATTAGCGCTGCCTGCAGAAGGACGGAAGGGAGGACCGACCGACTGTTTGCCATCCATAATCGGAAACTCCCAGATATGCAGGATTGAACGTGTACTGTCCTTGATAGTAGTAGATGAAACAGCCGTAGACGACATAAGCCACATAGATGACAGCTTGAGCGACGAACATGCCTTTGAGGAAGTCATGAGGTCTTTTCATCTCTGCCCTGCTTTGTCGTTAGCCTTCGCGACAGGTATCGGGGAGCCCGGGATCTTGGAAGCCTGGGTAACTTGGTACATTGTTTTGGGGGTGCTCACATGAACTCGACGAAGAGTTGAAGGCCTGCATATGCCAATACTCCTGAGAGCATGCCATTGACAGCGCCGAGGAGATTCGATGTAGGGAGAGATCCATAGTGCACTTTGGGAGGATAGACCCCGTTTACAGGGGTAATGGTCGTCGGGTCAATTGTACCTGGTCATGTCAGTCCTTGCTTTCAAATTTGGCTCCGCACACCTTACTTCCGACTGATCCCAGGGTCGCAATTGCAAAATTGGGCGGATTGTGCGCCGTAGCCCCCATCGAGACAAAGATAGCGAGGATGTTGAGCCAGAATCCGAAGTTGGCAATCCACCCGTAGTTCCTCAAGGTACGGATCTGAGTCAAGAAAAATCCGATGATGACGAATATCAGGGGACAGACAATGTAGCAGATGCGGTATTTGGACATCTCCGAAATGTTCTGACCAAACAGAATTGTGACTTGACCCAGAAGCAGCAGGAGGGCGATCGCCTGGAGGACGTTGACGACATGGCGAGCAATGGTTCCCCATGCTCGGAATGCCAGATCACCGTAGTTGCGCGCTGGGAACTCGTGCGAGTCGACCCCCATGAAGACCTTCCAGATCAAATACCCACTGTATACGCTGACGATTCCGAAGGCTGTGAAGATCCCACAGCCTGGGCCGAAGCCGAGGGTCCCAATAGCGAACGGCACAGCAAACGGTCCAAGGATATCGGTGGTGATCTAGACCATTAGCCTCCAACATGTCTTGTGTGAAGCTGCTCACCAGATAGAAGACTGCTCCCCATGAAGCCGTACGGAATGCCCGACTCGCGTTTGACCACTCTTCTTCGGTCACAACTTCACCGGCGTGTGGCTCAGATTCATGCTTCTCTTCTACAGGGTCTGCAGTCTTCTTTCGTGAAGAGAAGACGGTTCGCCATTGCCACTGCGGAGATGGTAGCTGTCGTTGTTCTTCACGGGTTCGCTGCGCATAGTAGTAGTATTCCTCGAAAGTCACGCTGGAGTCGTGAACCTTGCGCTGACTAGGCGGAAAATACGACCGAGCGGCGGGTGGTGATGACGTTGATTTCTCGTGGTCGAACACGGTCTTCTCAGCCATCGTGCCTTGGCTTTTCTAGCTAGGTGTTTGGCTTTTGAGCTTGTCGAAGCTTGGCTGAGCTTGGCGTTCTCAAAACAATAACTCTGAATCTGACGAGGAAGGGAAAGAAAAGGCGACACTTATATTGCGTTGAGACCATGAAGCCACGGTGATCAACCAGGCGCCCACCACCTTGTATTGAGCGATGTAACCGTTTCATTGGCTAACCATGCGGGGTCGTTGCAAATCGAGCTCCTTATCACGATGGAATCTGGGAGACGAGCATAGCGTGGACAGGGCCTCATTGTGGAGAAGAGCAGCCCACGAATAGGCGTAAGTCCATGGATCGTGGGTGGTCACACCACGTAATTGAGCGCTCCCAACTACACGAGCCGAAACGTAGACCCTGGTGACAGTGTTGATCGGTTTCACGCGCACCACATATACGCCCCCTACGCCCCAGAATGTGGTGCACTTTCTTGCTAGACCGCATGAAGCCATCTTATCGGGACCAACCGACGCATACACTCGCCAACACCTGGATTATCTTCGTGGGGGCCACAATTTTGATTGACTCGCTCTCCAGGCGTTAAATGGAGGCTGGGGAGGCATCTTCCGCACCCACGCTGGAGACATATTTACCGGTTACACTGCTGAGAGCATGCCCGTGCTTCGTTGGAGTCCGTTACTCTCGGTTTGGGCGAAGTAGCCACCCGTTGTCGTCGCGCTTACCAATTGAGCGACGGTTCCAATAGTGGAAAGCATTCCACTGGATATTCAAATGTGTTAACATCCGTAAACCGTAGAGAAGTGGAAGCCAAAAATCTGGTTGTTGTTTTTGCTCGCAGCTTCGTCTAATGGAGTTCCGAGACCCTTCTCTTTAAAATGGTGGAAGGATGGTAGATGCTTGTTCGAAGATAATGTGGCTTATGGGAGCTCCCTCGTGGACAAAGAACAGCTGAACGATTTCGAGGGAGGTTCGTTCGGTCGGTATTGATAAGGAGGGGGATATCGAAGTAGTAGTGTCTTTTGGGACATGCCTCCTTCTCGCGAAACCGGTTCGTCAGCCCCGAGGTCAGGGAGGGCGCGACGCTGAACCAGGTGAGCATCTTCGTCTTGACCCAATTGGATATCGGCTGACACAAGCCAGGGGTGGAAGATGGTCAGTCCCCACCCACAGTGGCTCATTGGTATCATAGCCGTTGTCGAGAAAGAGCCCGAGGATCGTGTAAGACTTTTGTTCATCCTGCTCAAGTTAGTACTTGGTTGGTTTGATATTGTGGTTCAAGAGAACGATAATTGCCCTGATATTTGCGTCCTTGACCGCAATCTCCATCGGTCTCCACAGAGCCACCAATGTTACTATAGCATGGCGGGAACTTCATGGGGATCTCCACCTCGACTTGCATGTCAGTATGGATCGCAGAGGAATTGTGAAGAAATGCACCACTTCACAGTGGCATCTGTGTTACGGGGGAAACCAATTCAGACGGTGGCACAGCGCTGCACGGAGGCTGGGCACGTGCCTGCAGGGAAAATATCCCTAGACAAGGTGGCATCCTAAGACTTGCAAACATCTGATAATGCGGGCTTCTTTGTCACTATTGAGGACTATGATTTCGCACCATGATAATGTTTATACCGTCGCAGAGACTGTGCTACTTGTTTCTGAAGGAGGCTCCATGCTTATATTGGTATCGTTCTAGGAGCTCTTAGCAGGAGTCTATCATAAAGCGGCGTCCGTTCAAGACCATATTTAGCTAGTCTCAACCTACTATTATCCACTGCTTCCCAAAGACGGAGGGACATGAACTGAGTGGTGGTTCACCTTCCATCTCTTGTTCCTTTCTCTTCGGTCCAGTACTACGAGAGGACGGACGGATCTTAGTCCCAACACCCACAAGACACGCGACTGACAATAAGAGCCAGCCTTAGTGAGAGGCGCCTACCACTCGTTGATCAAGCACCATGGCGGGGTCGCAATCGCTGCGGAGCGTTTCTGCTCGCACCGCACAATGTGACAAAGAGAATTCAGCTTCCGGTATCTTCTACAGCCTTGCCTATTTGCTGCTGATGTTCAACACTGACTTGTCTTGGCAGACCAGTTCTCACATCCCAGTGACTCGCCGACCCGCACTTCACCAATCGAGTCAATTGTCGAGAATCCTGCCACCAAGCTGATCGATGAACTCGGACCAGGCTGCGCACTGGCGGGTCCTTTCCCTGGCACAGGTACTCCTCCAGAACCTGCAAAGCCTCCGTCCGACGCGATGGGTGGCCCGTGCTGGGACGTGGACCTGCAACGTTGGCGCAAAACATTTGCCGTCGACAACGACGGCAAAGTTGTCCTCAGTCGCAAATCAGACTTCGACCACCTGAATCATCTAGCAGATGGGCCGCAAGAACTTGATGCTGTATGTACCGTACCCTCTGCTCTGCATAACATCCAGAACACATGCTGATCACTCAAGGCTCTGAATTGTATCGGCCAATTTGCGCTCGCCGCTGGCAAGTTGCATTGCAATGTGTATACCAACTCCAATGACTCGGGCACGCTGAGCCACGAACAGGTGACAATGTCAGGTTTCTGGCTGAGTGGGGACAAGTTCGTGACTTGTGCTCATCTTCTGGACATTCACGCCGACACGAATGTGGACGAGACGGAGCGACGGCTGCGCGACGCACAGCTGACGACAGCACGTGTTTCGATGGCGAAATTCTCAGAAGACGCAGAGGACGATCGTGAGTCGTCTGATGATCAGACTGTTATAGCACACTGCTAACTCTCAGCAGTGGGACCAGTGTACCATGTCCACTTGTTGAACCTTTGCAGAGCCTCAGACCTTGCTATCTTTGTCTTGAACTCTGAAGCCGCCGGAAACGAATACACACCTCCCCACCCGGTGCACTCCATCGACCCTAGATTGTTGGAACCCCTACCGCTCGAAAACAGTTTGTCGTCCTCGAACTACTTCACTGCATATTATCCAGGTTCCGAACAAGACATACATAACACGAAGCTATCCTACATACGCAAATCCAATGCGGCAGCGGCAAATATCCAAGATACTTACGAGTTCATGGGTCAAGAGGTCAGAAATGCCTACTTTCCAAAGTCCCTCCTAGGACCCCTACCTGTAAGTCATATCCCCAGTCCACCAAATGTGTTCTACGCTGACTTAACTGCTAGCATTATGAAAAGACGTTCAAATCGGACACCCGAAGTGTTGCGTTCGGTCCAGTCATGCCTAAGCAAGGGGGGAATATCTGTGGACGAGTGTACGGAACTGGCAAGCTGACCGAAGCGCGTGAATGCAATATTGCTGGCTTCTACGGCTGCAGTGGCGGGATGGTGTGTAGGATTGAGAAGAATCGCGGTGCTTGGAGAGTTCGAGTTGTTGGCGTCTGTGAGTTCATACCCGTGTTATGACTGTTCTCTAGGCGAAACTGCCACGGCTGACTGCTCTCTAGTTCACGGAGAAAGTTCGAACAACTTCAAATACAACATTATCCTCGGATTTACTGTTGCTGGCGTCGAAGAACTCAAGAAGCCCGTTATTGACCCGCCCCAGCTTGGAAAAGGCCTTGCCGCTCTCCACATGTGAAGATGGTTGGATCCTGCCGTTGTGGCCTGCCGTTGTGATGCCCATTGAGGCATGATATTCGACGCAAAATTGGGGCTCGGCGACACTCTGAAGATGAGATGGAAGGAATGGCAGCCGGCCAAGTGAAAACACACACTATCAAGATGTCCATAATCCTTCCTGGGCTCGGCGAGCGACGGATGTCCACAAGAAAAGAAAGTCACACACAGTTGGGTTGCAAGAGTTCAAGAAACAGTCCGTCAGCGAGACCGGCATGATATTGTCTTCCTGTCAGTACGGAAACAAAGCATTGCCCAAATACTTGACCACTGTCCAGTTTGCCATCTCTCCTTCGACCTGCTGAGCATAAAAAGTGAAATACGTCCCTTGTATCTTGAATGAGATTGCACGCGGTCTGCGCAGCTAGGGATTCCAGAGACGGCGTTACACAGGTTTTTCGGCCTCTGGCGATCCTGTTCCTCCGCGCCTAGAATTCGCAAGTAGTGAAGTAAATCTCGCCATGTCACTCCCAACCAGGCACCCCGTGACACCTCGTACGCTATCGGTGAGATGTTCTGGTGAAACGAGCCACTCCGCTCTCCCTCGCAACAACTCCCCGCAGTCTGAACAGTGTAGCCGAGCCCGGAATTCCGGCACCCCTGAGACATGCGGTGAGTGGGAATTGGGAACCAGGACCAAAATTTGTGCGACTCTAGCCAGGGCCTCTCTTTGACTGGGCTTAGGCTACGCTCCTTATCTTGGACCCAGGCTCGATCTTTCTCTCAGTGAAGGACCTCGAGCCGTAGTGACCGCTGCGCTCAAAGCGGTACAAGGGCTCCAAATGCTCCCCGCGCCGGAAGAAGAGGTACCGCCTCAACGCCCATGGCAAGACCTAAAACGAGTCAGAAGTGGAAGCTTGACATGCTGCGAGATGTACGCACCTTCCTAACTTGATAGCTGATGAATCGTCTCGTCGGCACCGCAAAGACGTAGTCGAGCTCTTCCAGGGTGTAACCACTGGTGTCCGGGACGAAGAGGAACATCAGAATGAAGACAAACAAGTTCATGCCACTAGATGGATGTCGCCGTCAGCACAAAAGACTCTGGGAGGGGACGTTAGAGGCTTGAACCATACGCATAGAAGCCGAATGCACCTGTCGCGGTGAATTTGCTCAACATCAGGGGAAACGTCAACGAGAGAGCCGAGGACAGGGCAAACGTCGCCGACACGGCCCAGCTATTGCCGATCTCCCTGTGCGACAATGGAAAGGCTTCCGCAGAGTACACGAAAGCCACCGGCCCTATCGCAGTCACCATCAGTCCTGTCGCCGCCCAGCATGCAAGAATATCGACAAGGTGGGGAGATCATACCTTGACCAACCGAGTAAAGAGCGGTGAATGCGTAGATGAAGAAGGCAATCATGCCAACGTGAGCCTTGCTGGACTCTGGAATGTAGAAGCAAAAGCCCGCGGCAAGGAGTGTCCACGCCATGTGTGGGAAGGTCGAGAGAAGCAGAGATCTAGCACCCACGAGTCAATTGAATATCACCTTCGCAAAGCTTGACCACTCTTACCTCCGACCGAACCTGTCAATGAGAAAAATTGCTGGGATGGCAAACGCGAAGTTGATAACGCCGTAGCCCAGCGAAGTAAGCAGTGCTGTATGCTCGGAGGCGCCAGCTTGGACAAAGACGGTCGACGAGTAAAAGGCAATGATGTTCATCCCTACGACAGATGGAAATTAGCCTCAGAAACAGGGAACTGTTTCCGCTAGAGAATGTCATGGAGTAGGCAGCCCTGGCGAGAACAGAACATTCATAACATCTAAACCTGTTCCGTAATGTGTTGTCAGAAGACTTGAACGTACCGCAGAATTGCTGGCCCATGAAGACGACCAAGGCTGCTATGGCGCTTCGTCGAATACGAGGGACCGTGATGAGTTCACGGAGTCTGACAGCGTACGTCGACGCAGCCGCCATCTCGTGTTCGATGACGAGCTGAGCATGGACGTAGTAGAGGTCGCGCGCGGCTTGGATTCTGTGCTTTCGTAGCCGGCAGAGCGACTCAAACGCGTTTCGGTACCGGTTTTTCTTCATCAACCAACGTGGAGACTCTGGAGGTTCCATTAGCAGATAGTCAGGAAGACACTCCAAAGACAACCATACCTGGACAGAAGTAGACGAGGAGGGCGAGCGGGACGGCTGGGATGAAAGCAGACCCAATCTGAAGCCTCCACGCAATTTTGCCGACCCGGTAGACCACGAGATTGGCGGCAAACCCGAGAAAGATGCCGAATGCCGTCCACATCTGCCAGCCCATGACCAGGGCACCTCGAATGACGGCCGGAGAATTCTCTGCGGCGTACATGGGAATCGTCGCAGCTGCCCGGAAGAGTGAGTCTATCGACCTTATTGTGGGACAAAATGTTGATCAGCGTCTTTACCTTTGAGGCCCATTCCAAACCCCATGAGGAGCCTGGTCACGAGGAGCTGGTGCCAGTTTTGCGAGAGTGCACCGCCGATGGGTGTCAAGATGCAGAAGATTGCGGCCATGAAAGTCGCTCCACGACGGCCAAGGAGAGCGTTGAACGGATCAGACAGCCAACATCCGCTTCACGGCGTCAGCACGCTGGGCTGGACGATACAAATGCTGCAACTTACAGGATAGCAGAAGAGATATAGGGAGCAGCGTTGACCAAGCCAATCAACCAGTTGTCCCGACTGGAGCCAGACGCGATGCCGAACTCGACGGGGAACGTCAAATTGGCGCCGTTTGAGCCCGTTTGATCCCAGCCTCTTTCGGTGCATCAGCCTTGTGTCGTTCAGTGGGAGATTTCTGTGAAACTTACTGCACCGCTGCTCCGATCGAGCAGACAAACACGGTGGCATATAGGGCGAATGGGTGGGTCCACCTGTGCGTGAGCTCGTGCTGTAGGCCCTCGAGCTCATCGAGATCGAGCTCTTCGATTTCTGCCAGCGGCACTGCGGCTTGAGCAACGTATGCACCTTTCTGCAGGAGCGGCAGGATGTCGAGGAGGTCCTTGTCCGTGGCAAAGCGTTCCACTTGCAACATCAGATCATCTTTCGCAATTCCAGCCAGAGGGTTGACCAGTCTGTGTAACTGGTTAGCAACGATATTGCCAAGAAAGGTAATGGTACTCTTTCGGCGTACCTCGCCGTGCTGTTTTCTCTGATAGTCTCGACGGCAACGTGCCCTGTCGACGAAGCATGCCCCACCTCATCATGAGAGGCAAGCTCGACCTTCTCAGACGCAAGTTTCTCGGTCATCTTGAATTGCAGGGACCCTGAAGATGAAGGCTTCAATCAGAGCGATGGGGTTTTTCGAGGGATAGTGGGAAGGTGGTTTGAGGGAAGAACAGTCATGAGCTTCGGCGGGACTGAGAGTGCATTTTATGTTTGTGGTCGCAAGCTTGTCTACTTCCCAAAGCCGACTCAGTTGACTCCAGACGGTTGGATAATTCAGACCCCACGGGGTAGAACAGCTGGGGTTGCGTGAGACTCTGACCACGTCCGCGGCACTCCGTATTGAAAACCAGAAACGGATTGTCGTGAAAAATACATCGTTGCCACCCTTACGATATGTCAAGTGCATAGCTCCTACATGGGGCTCCAAGCGGTGTTCTTGATAGAATTCTACTACAGTGAAAACCAAATTGCGCCTGACTGTACGGCCTGGTACGCGGTATGGTATCCACAGCTCAACAGCCTTGAGGGGGCGCGCAACTTTGTCGATGGGCATTCTTCCATGTTCGTATTAGCGGCGGTCAGGTTCCCTCTGCATTCCCCACAGGCGGTCCGCCGGTGCCGCTTTAGACAACATTCCCGGGCCAGGTGGGGGTTCCTAGTGGCAACACAGACATTCTCGATACTGCGTGGCTGACTTTGCCGCTCAATGGGTTTCCGAGGACGATAGAAATGTTGCTTCGGCTACTAACGGCGGGACGCAATGATGATGGCCGCCAACATTTGGATTCAAGCTTTGGAGCAAATCCTGGATGGGCTGTAAAGGAGTGTGAGAAAGCATGGCTAGTCACCCCGCCATCATCGGTCACTCTACAAGTCGCGACGCATCCTTAGTGAGCATCCAAAGTACCCTCCTGATGTTTCGAACACTATGGCCGCTTATTTCCCGGTAACAGAGTCTGGCCATGATAGCCTGTTGACTAATTACTGGAGAGAACTGCTTACACAGGAACGTGAGGGTCTCCTTTAGCCAGTGGGGAAATATTGAGCCATGGTTGAGATTAATGCACAAAAGTTACGAATTGAGAAATCTAGATCATTGCCCATGGAGCGAAGAGTCTCGGATTATGTTGCAGCATGGAAGAGATCAATTTTGGCGAAACTCCGCGCTTGACTTCTCACTTTCGTCTCGGATCCTCCATGTAAACTCGTAGGTCTTGCATGCATCTTCGTATGAGGACAGAATTTCAGCCGAGGCAGTCGGAACGCCCTGTTGCACGCTGTCCACGCCGTTTGCAGCTTCCTGGCAAGGAACAGTTCCGAGCGACCCTAACAAGCCTGCAAACTCCGAATAGAACGGATCGTCATTGAGGAAGGTGAACGACTCTTCTTGCTCCGAGGCTGGGGTCCTGTTTCGAGAAGGCATTCAATGTCAGCTCCCATTGCATATTCTCGGGGCGCATCGGAAATTCCCATTTTGCTTGGACCTCGCGCTGAAGAACAGTCTCATCCGTCCTGTATATGGCAAACGTACCTAACGTAAAGTGTTGGGGTGCTGTAGAGATCAACGAGACGAAGCTGGAAGCCGTCTCCGGCAACGACGATCTCGTTAGAGTACCGAATACCATGCAGTGCGACTATATGCATCAGTGATCCCACTGCGCCACCTTGGTATTTCCTGCCTTCGGTTAGCCGGCTGTCGCTTGAAAGTCCTATTCTCCTTTTGGGGCATACCAAAACGCAGCTGTTACGCGAGGAATGCGCTCCTCGGCAGGTATCTGGGATTCGTCCACAAGCATGCTGGACAACTTCCCAGCT